AGGGACGTTATGGGGGGGAAGCCATTGTAATCCATAGGCTGTACTTTGGAAATTTATATTCATTAAATAAAAGAAAAAAAAAAAACACTTATAACCAGAGAATCTCTGAGGAAGAACAAAAAGGGGTCCAGGATCTCACCTGATGCTAAAGTGGAACTTCAGATTTGATTTTTAAAAGGAAACACTATCTTAAAAAGATATATATAATTAAAAGTCTAGGGACCAGTGCCATGGTATAGTAGGTTAAGCCTCCACCTGTGGCGCAGGCATCCCATATGGGCGCCAGTTCATGTCCTGGCGGCTCCTCTTCCTATCCAGCTCTCTGTTATGGCCTGAGAAAGCAGTGGAAGATGACCCAAGTGCTTGGGCCTCTGCACCCAAGTGGGAGACCCAGAAGAAGCTCCTGGCTAATGGCTTCATGCTGGCCCAGCTCTGGCCACTGCAGCCATTTGGGGAGTGAACCAGAGGATGGGTGACTTTTCTCTCTGTCTCTCCCTGTGTCTTTAACTCTCCTCCCAAATAAAATCTTTAAAAAAAAAAAATCTAAAAGACTGATAAATACATCTTCATCAACAATGAAACTTCTGCATGGCGAAGCTCCATAATTAATGTTAAGGAAATAGGGAAAAATATGGGAGACATATCTAACAAAGTTAAGTATCCATAATATTAAAGGACTGCCATAAATTATTAAGAGCAAAGCACCCAACAGAGATGAGCAAAGGGTAACAACAGGCAATTTCCAGATGATAAAATGTGAATGGTCAGTGAAGAATTTTATGAGAAGATACTCAAACTAGGAATAATTAGCAATGAGAGAAATTGAGTCAAATTGGCATAAATTTATAATTTTGATACCAAATTTTTCTTTAGATTTATTTATTTGAAAGGCAGAGTTACAGAAAGGAAGAGGAAGAGGAAGAAAGAAAAAGAAAGAGAGAGACAGCGCAAGAGAGCGAGCTCTCTTCCATCACTGGTTATCTCCCCAAATGGCTGCAGCTGCCGGAGCTGGGCCAATCCAAAGCCAAGAGCCTGGAGCTTCTGCCGGGTCTCCCACGCAGGTGCAGGAGCCCAAGAATTTGGGCCATCTTCTGCTGCTTTCCCAGGTGCATCAGCAGGGGGCTTGATCAGAAGTGGAGCAGCCAGGACTCAACCAGCACTCATATGGTATGCTGGCACTGCAGGTGGTGGCTTTACCTGCCATGCCACAAATGTTTTCAATTATTGATAATAGTTAAGCTTTGGTGAGAATGAAGTAAATAGGCACTCTGGTATATGCTTAGGTATAGAAACCAGGAAAGCCATTTTGTAGGACAATATGGTCATATCTATTAAAATTTTGCCCCAGCATTTCACTTACAGGATTCCACCTTTCAGAAGTACTTGCACAAATCCACAGGGAGCACATACAAAATATTATGATATAACTATAATGAGAGAATAATACAAGCTACCTAGATGTTCAAAATAGAATATTAAATTCCCTACTAAGGAAGACTATGCAGCAGTCACAGGGAATGATGTAGAATCTATACTATAGATACACAAGAGTTTCAAAAATTCATGGAAAAATGAATTTAAAAGGTAATATGCATTTCTCATGAATTTTTTGAAGCCCTCTCATTTGTATATGTGTGTATGTACTGGTAAGACATTGAAAATGCAGGCTACAAGACAAAGTTTATGGGACAGTGCTGCAGCTTAGCAGTTTAAGCCTCTGTCTGCAACGTCGGCATCCTATATGGGTGCCAGTTCAAGTCCCAGCTGTTCCACTTCCAATCCAGCTCCCTGCTAATGTGCCTGGGAAAGCAGCAGAAGATGGCCCAAGTCCTTGGGCCCCTGTACCCACGTGGGAGACCCAGAAGAAGCTCTGGGCTCCTAGTTTCGGCTGGCCCAGCCCTGGCCATTGCAGCCATTTGGGGAGTGAACCTGCGGGTGAGTGATCTCTTTCTCTGTCTCTCCCTCTTTCTCTGTAAATCTTTCAAATAAATAAATAAATATTAAAAAAAGTTTATGGTGAAATCAAAACAAACTAATAAAAAGCAAAAAAAAAAAAAAAGCCTCATTATTTCTTTATGTAACTTTGTTTATAAGTGTATAGAAAGAGGCCTAGAACAGTGGTTGTTTCTAACTATGGTTATTTGTGGCTAAGGAATAGGAATATAGAGAATGGCCACAGGGAACTTCCTAAATTATCTGAATTAAAAAAAAAAACACAGCCATAAACTATATGTCCAATCAATTAAACAATAAAATATTAAATAATGAAAGCACTAAAGTCATTAATTAACTCTGAGTATAACTTTGCTTATGACTTATTTTGAGAGTCAATAGTCTCTCATTACTTTCTAAATAGTATATTGTTAGCAGATAATATCTACAGTAGGGAAAACCTTTTTCAGGTGAAGAATTTGTTTTCAATCTGCAATAACTACAGTCATTTTTCTTAGACAACATAAAAATGATGTGAAGTATGTAAACTCTTGTGTGTACGTGTAGCTAAAAATATGCATGTAATACAAAATAATGGGAACATTTCTATTTTTCTGGTTTCCACCTACTCATCTTTGTATCTCTGTGTGCATAAAGCTTCCCAATAAAACTTAATTGCACACTTGAACCCTTTATAAATATAAATTTATATTCAATAATTTCACCTTTCCAGCTAAAAAAAAAGTTCAATTTCTCTTATCATAAGATACATTTTAGAAAAGAATGACTTAAAGTGAATATTTAATGTTTCCTTTAAAAACTAAGTTATTTTCTGGTTTTGCTTTGTTTCACCTCTCTTCCTCCATAGTAGAATCCTCTTTGCCATGCATTTCAGATGTATTGTCATACATTAGTTTATGAGTTTCAATGAAGTTTTTCTGTAGGGCAGACATCTGAGCCATGATCTTCTGGCGATGCAGCCTAGCAGCTTCAGCTTTTCTTTTCCGTTCTGCTTTTTCTTTATCATGAGTAATCTAGGTATTAAGAAACCACAAAAGTAGGTAAGATATACTGCTAAAAATGTACATATACGTTGAGTATGCCTTAACCAAAATGGTTGGGACCAGAAGTGTTTCAGATTTCAGGTTTAGGAATATTTGCATTAATTATCAGTTTTGGATTCCAGAGCATTTCATTTCCGATCTCGAATTTTCGGATTGAGGGTGCTTATCTGTATACTGTTCAATTATAAAAAAATCCTGAGTGAGATTCTGAAAAACTTGATAATCACTTAAGGCCTAGATTCAACTTAATGTTTCAAAATTAGCTTTAAAAGTTCCATCACATCATACAACTAATTGCTCTTCTGATTATCCCAATTACTTAAAGTAAAAGGCCAACCACCATAAAAATCCAATAAACTGCCTTTTATATTTAATGGAAGTATATCAAGAAAGTTCATTTAAACAAAATTTTAAAATCATTTCCCAATGACTTAATTACTGACATTTAATCAATCTAAACCAACTTGATGACATCTAAGGCTCACAAATATATTGCTAAGACTGAGAACATCAACAATGTTACTGGTATTATTTTGTGCCTTTTTATCTTCTATTCTGCCAGTGCAGTGTATTTTTCTTTTAGGAAGGACAATTTTTAATTACAAGCAATAGTCTAATAATTAAATACCAGATTATCAAAAGCTGATTCATTACATATGGAAATAACCCAAATATTATTACATTTTATTGAATCAAAAATGAATAATTGGGCCCGGCGCCGTGGCTCACTTGGCTAATCCTCCACCTGCAGCGCTGGCATCCCATATGGGCGCCGGGTTCTAGTCCCGGCTGCCCCTCTACCAGTCCAGCTCTCTGCTGTGGCCTGGGAAGGCAGTGGAGGATGGCCCAAGTGCTTGGGCCCTGCACCCGCGTGGGATACGAGGAGGAAGCACCTGGCTCCTGGCTTTGGATCGGCGCAGCGCGCCAGCCGTAGCGGCAACTTGGGGGGTGAACCAACGGAAGGAAGACCTTTCTCTCTTTCTCTCTCTCTCTCTCTCACTGTCTGCAACTCTACCTGTCAAATAAATAAATAAAAATCTTAAAAAAAAAGAATATTTATGTTCCTCTAACAAAAAGTATATTGGCCAAACTATAATAAACCACCAATGGTGAGACATATCCCAATTTCAGACATTAAAATATATTAAAAATTAATAAAATATGGTATTTCTATATTTGATCTTAGCCAAAAGGTCAAGAAGCAATAAAATATGGTATTTCTAATAGAGCTCCACTACACATCAATTTCCTCTGCCTTTGTAAAATGCATACATTGTACCCAATAGCTATCTGTCAAGTATCATTAATCACTAGTACAGAAGCGTAATGAATAAAACATGGACAGATATCACACTTTAGAATAAATAGGCTCCTCCTAACAAAAAGCAGCTCTTCCTTAAAGCAGTGAAGTTCAAAGTCAGAGATGAATATCACTATCATTACACTGTTATTACCTCATCATTCTTAATGGATTCTAATCCTGATGTAGTTGCTACAATTAAGCAAGATTTTTCTCTTAATCGCTTTACTGTGTCAAACATCTGTGAAAAACAAATGAAATGTTAAAAATCACTAATTTGATTTGGTCATTATGTCTCCAGAGGTCTTTGACTTAATTTATTTCAACATTATGTACATTATACAAATGGACAGCATGTATGACTATGTGTAATACATAATACTTGGTAAGTAACAACTATATTTTTTTAAAGATTTATTTATTTCAAAGACAGAATTACAGAGAGAGGTACAGAGAGAGAAGAGAGGTCTTCCATCCACTGGCTCACTCCCCAAATGGCCCCAACAGCCAGAGCTGAGCCAATCTGAACTGATCTGAAGACAGGAGCCATGAGCTTCTCCTGGGTCTCCCATGTAGGTGCAGGGGCCCAACGACTTGGGTTATCCTCTGCTGCTTTCCCAGGCACATTAGCAGGGAGCTGGACTGGAAATAGAGCAGTTAGAACTCTAACCAGCTCCCCTATGCGATGCTGGCACTGCAGGCTAGGGCTTGAACCCACTGTGTCACAGGGCCAGTCCCTATATTAATATTTTATGTATTTATTGTACTATAATTTTTTTTAGCATTTTAGAGTATATTCTTACTACTCATTAGAAAAAATTAAGGGGCTGGCACTGTGGCAAAGCAGGTTAACCTGCTGTCTGCAATGCTGGCATCGCTTATGGGAGCTGGTTCGAGACGTGGCTGATCTACTTCCTATCCAGCTACCTGTTACTTCACCTAAGAAAGCAGCACAAGATGGCCCAAGTGCTTGGGCCCCTGCATCCATGTGGGAGACCGGGAAGAAGCTCCAGACTCCTGGCTTTGGCTGGCACAGTCCAAGCTGTTGTGGCTGTTTCTTCCTCTCTCTCTAACTCTGTCTTTCAAATAAATAAAAAATAAATCTTGTTTTCAAAAAATGAGGTGGGCATTTAACACAACAGTTGAGATGTTTCATGAGATTCCTATTTTCCATATACCAGAGTCCCACTCTGCTTTCTATTACATCTTCCTGCTAATGTGCACCTTAAGAGGCAGAAAGGGGTGGCTCAAGTACTTGGGTCCCGCTATCCACACTGGGAACCCAAATTGAATTCCTAACTCCCACCAGCTGTTGTATGCATCTGGGAAAGGAGTGAACCAGATGATGGAAGATCTCTTTATGTCTTGGTCTCTGTCTTAAAAAAAAAAAACAAACCTGAAATGTAACATAAAAGTTCAAAGAGTTATGACAATAAAATAATTTTTAAAGATTTTATTATAAAACATTATGCAATGTTATGCCAGCAATAGTCCCAGACATCTCACATTTATAATGTTTCTTGATCACATTACCAGACATGTGCAAGGATTGACCTATATCATCTAGATTTGTGTAAGTCCACTCTACGAAATTCAACAGAATGATAAAATTGCCTAACAATGCATTTCTCAGAATATATGCCTGTCATTAAGCAACATGTGATTGTATTTAAATAAAGATGTGATCAGTTTACTGTTCTAATTTACCTGGAGTATCCATGTTATCATGTCCTTCTGGCCTTCTAACTGGGGAATTCCTTTGAGTTTTTCCAAAAGCATTTGTATATTCTGAGCATTCATGGATGAACTCCCCAATCCTTTTTTAAACACAAAATTACAAACAATAAACATAAATACTTTCATAATGAAGTACAAATTAAAGTGCTTATTATTCACATTGATAAGGGATTGATTCTTAAAATTCAGTTAACTATATTAATTTTTCAACAAAAGAATCACAAGTACATTAAGTACTGAGTTACAACTATATTTATTAAGGGTTAAATTAAAAGAGAAAAACTTGAATTACTTTGACTCTCTCCTATATCTTCCACTAGCAGCAGTGCTAAGTAAAAATAACCTGTAATGATCTGTCTCGTCTCTCTTCCACTTAGTTCCTTGTCCTTAGTAAGAAAAAACTTCCCAAATTATCAAAATGGGATGTGATATATCCATAAAAAAACAGGTTTATGATGTCTTCATGGATCTAAAAAACACAGTGTATAAACTAAAAAAGGGGGGCAAGAATGGGTGGCAGTACTGTGGAGTAATGGGTAAAACTGCCATCTGCAGTGCTGGCATTCCATATGGTCACCAGTTTGAGTCCCAGCCGCTCCACTTCTGATCCAGCTCTCTGTTATGGCCTGGGAAAGCAGTGGAAGATGGCCCAAGTCTTTGGGCCCCTGCACCCGTGTAGGAGACCTGGAGGAAGCTCCTGGCTTCAGATTGGTCCAGCTCTAGCTCTCTCTGCTTCTGCCTCTGCCTCTCTCTAACTGCCTTTCAAATAAATAAAATTAAAAAAAAAAAAAAACTTAAAAGGAAATGTTTTTCATTTATTAGTTTTGTAATAAATATAACTGGAATCAGGTAGCATTTAATAGAAATCTAATCTAAATCTATCCTGTTCTTCAAAATTAAAAATAGTGCAAGACAGATCACCTGTCATTCAGGAGTGAAATCATGCAGTAAAAGGTCTGTTATAGGGAATTAAAAAATATATTAGCTGGGCTGCATTGCCATGGCTGCTGACAGTGGTATCACTCCTGTGCAACTGGCAATGGACCATGTGGCACTAAGTATCTGCTGCCCTCAGCCCAACAGTTGGACACTGAGAGCCACCAGGCTCTGGCAAGAAGTCTGACAGCTGTAGGACTGGGTATTAAAGGCTCTTGCACTTGCAGGTCAGTTAAGGATTTCATATCTGGAATAAGTAATCACAGGAACTGCAAGGAAGATTTCAACTCCGAACCTTTCATTCTACTATGAAGGAGGATTTAAACAGAAAACGAGTGGGTGAGAAGTTAAGTTTTATTTTAGGTGGAAGCCCATCTGCTAGCAAGGCCTAAATTAGAACATTTCACTGGAGAATCATGATTTTGAATCACTGAGATAAAGGTAGATTTCCTTACTTAACAACCAAAATAAAGCCAAAGACTTGCAAAAAGCAACTATCAAACAATGACTGATTCCTAAGACCCATGCTGAGAAAAAAGGGGAGACTTAAAGAAAACAAAAGTCCAGCAAATTAATCTAAAATATAGTCCCTGAATATTCCTAAGATATTGACTACAATCTTTTCTTCTGCCATTAGGCTCTATAGCAATAGAAGGTTAACAATTTTGTTTTTCATTATCTTTTAAAAGAACCCCTTAAAATTCTTTGATCTTTTTCTTAATTCCTTTTGATATGATATTCATATTTTTAATGATTTTCGTTACATTAGTTCTGCTTTACACACACACACACATATATACATGTGTGCAAAAAGTATGACCATCAGAAATGTAATTGGGATTTGTGGGCAATGAATAGAAATTTTCTTACTGCCTATATATCTATACCCTCATTTTCCCTTGTTTCTTCAGAAGAAATGGGGACTCTGTCTATGTAAGGTGCTTTAAATATTCCATTTCACAGTGTCAGTTTGAGTCCTGGCTGTTCCACTTCTGATTCAGCTCCCTGATAAGGTGTCTGAGAAGGCAGCAGATGATGTCCCAAGTACAGGAGCCCCTGTCACACATGTAGGAGACCCAAATAAAATTCCTGGCTCCTGGCTTCAGCTTGGCCCAGGCCTGACTAGTGCAGGCACTTGTGGAGTGAACCGCTAGATGGAAGATGTCTCTCTATCTTTCTGTCTTTTCTTTGCCTTCTCTGTAGCTCTGCCTTTCAAAGAAATAAAGAAATCTTAAAATAAAAATGTTCTGAGATCAAACACTAGCTGCCTTAGGGGGGGGATGATCTGAAGTGTAATGAAATTTATAAAATGGTATTTTATAAAGTAGTGGGTAGGTAGGTTAGAGAATTCTGTTCTACTGGGGCAGGTGCCGTGATGTAGCAGGTAAAGCCACCACCTGCAATGCCGGCATCCCACATGGGCACTGGTTGAGTCCTGGCTGCTCCACTTCCAATCCAGCTCTCTGCTATGGCCTGGGAAAGCAGTAGCAGATGTCCCAAGGGCTTGGGCCCCTGTACCCATGTGGGAGACCTGGAAGAATAAATCTTAAAAAAAAAAAAAAAAAAAAAAAACTGACACAGGACAATGTGGAAAACTACTAAAATGATTAAAGATGTAAAAATGAGCCCTGTGAGGAAAGGCTGCAAAGGCCTAGGGAAAATCTGAGTAGCCTATATTTAATTATAGTAATACAATAATGTGTATATATGTATTTATTTTTATTTATTTGAAAGTCAGAGTTACACAGAGAGAGGAGAGGAAGAAAGAGAGAGAGGTCTTCCATCCACTGGTCTGGTTCACTCTCCAATTGGCCACAACACCACATTGCTGACCCCAGCAATGTATATTTCATTCAATTATTCATTCTACAATATTACTAACCACCTATGATGCGCAAGACACTGTAGTGGGGAAGGGGAACTCCTTTGATAGTTACAAATTTGAACCAGTCATAGATCCTACACCAAGAAGAATAAATCATGGAAATAAACAAACATTGTTAGAGTTGTACAAATGATACATTAAATAAGTTCAAAAGAAGAAAAGAATGTTTTAAACTGAATGCACTGTGGGAGGGGGCTTTGTGGAGCAAGTGGCACTGAACTACTATGCTGTGGCATAGTAGGTTAAGCCTCCTCCTGTAGTGCCGGCACCCCATATGGGCACTGATGGGAGTCCTGGCTGTTCCACTTCTGATCCAGCTCTCTGCTTATGGGCTGGGAAAGCAGCAGAAGACGGCCCAAGTCCTTAGGTCTGTGAACCCACACGGGAGACCCAGAAGAAGCTCCTGGCTCCTGGCTTTGTATCCGCACAGTTCTCACCATTGCAGCCACTTGGGGAGTGAACCAGCAGATGGAAGACCTCTCTGTCTCTCCCTCTTTCTGTAACTGTTTCTCAAATAAATATATCAATTTTCAAAAAAAAAAAAAAAAGACTTTAAGAAAAGATCAATGAGAGATACAAATGTTTGCTGAGTCAGTGTTTTTCCTGAGATCAGAATTAGCATAGACATATCAATAGTGTGATTAGAGTGCAGAGTTTCTCAAACGTGAGGCATAGACAGAGAGGTCTCAAAGGCCAGCTCTGAGACATACACTGCTTTAAATTAATTTCTTCAAATAATCTGATAGTCATTACTTAATTGAGAAAACTGATTCAGATACAATGTCAGGATTATTTTCCAATGCTCCTTTACAACTCCTAAGTTCACTCCAAGCTAACTGAACTACTATATTTCATATACCTTCAAATATTGTTTTAATATCCCAGACGTATCTTCCAACCTATGACAACCTCCTCTTGAGTTCTCAACCTTGGCACTACTGACATGTTGGGTTATCTGCTGTATACTGCAGATAACAGATAATTAGCAACACCCCTGGCCTGTTAATCACTACAGACCAGTAAAGGCTGAGTATCCCTTATTAGAAATGCTTGGGATTTTGGATTTCAGGCTTTAGAAGTGTTTTGGATTTCAGGCTTAGAATAACTGCACAGACATACTGAGAACATTTTGGAAATGGGAGCCAAATATATACACAGAATTCATTAATGTTTCATATACACCAAAGCCTGAAATAATTTCATACAATATTTTTAATAATTTGGTACATGAGAGAATTTCATAGTGTGAAATTTTCCACCTGTGGTGTCATGTCAGCTCTCAAAAATTTTGGATTTTAAGCATTTCAAATTTTTGCATTTTTGGATTAGGGATGTTCAACCAGTAGCTTCTTCTCAGTTGTGACAAAAATGTTTCTAGACATTGCCAAATGTCCTTTGGAGGGCAAAATCATCTCCCCAAACTCAGAGGCAGTGCTATACATGTTTGGTATTTGCGGGGAGAGGTTACATCAAATAAAGATCTAATTCAAAATAAATTAAATCTTAAGAGTCAATAAAATACGGTTCTTGTTTAAAAAAAACACATGTATATGTACTTTGGAAAATATTAAAAACTAAAATGTTAGAAAAAAAACAAAAAATTTCAGGTTGTTCTACATTTCAAGGATTGTCAGACTAAAATTCTGTAGGCACTAAACTTTCAATTATAAATGAGTAGCCATCTGGAACTGTGTGAGAAACTGATACTCAAACATACTTGAAGCCTTATGGTAAAAGTCAAATACCACTTCTTCTTCAGGAGCTTTCTGAAGTTGCTGCTTCTCTTCTAGTAAACCCAATGCCAGAATATGAAATGCCTAAAGGAGGAAATAAGAAATCTCTTAAGATTGGGCTTCTTCAGGCAAATATATTTTAAATGGAGTTATGAAAATAGGCAACTTGATAGGTAAAAATGGGTAAAGGTTATAAATAAGCAGTTCACAGAAAGATAAATGATGAACATACATAGGAAAAAATGCTCATCTTCAAGTAAAGAAAAGTGATTTGAAACAAGATCACCCTATTTTTCACTTATTAGAGGGGGAAAATTTTTCAAGTTTAGTAAAATACAGGACTGGCAAAGGTGTTGGAAAACAGTACTTCTCACCATACTGGTAATAGAAAGTAAACTGGTATAACATTTTTGGAGGTCAATCTGACAAATCTATAAAAAATGTAAAGGTATAGAGCTAGCAATAGAATAAGAGAGATACATTCACTTATTTGTTATTTGTACAAGGATGTTCATTTTAGTGGTCTACGTTACAGCAAAGACCTATAAACAACCTGAATGTTTATTAATTGACTACTTAAATGCATTACAGTATATCCATATAGTAGAATACACATCAAGAATGGGGTAGACCTCTACTACTAATGTGGATAATTTCCAGAACATGTAAAACTTTAACAGTGCTTATTTCACATGTAGGCCACTAAGACACAGGGAGAAAAAAAAAATTTTTTTTTTGACAGGCAGAGTGGACAGTGAGAGAGAGAGAGACAGAGAGAAAGGTCTTCCTTTGCCGTTGGTTCACCCTCCAATGGCCGCCACGGCCGGCGCGCTGCGGCCGGTGCACCGCCCTGATCCAATGACAGGAGCCAGGTACTTATCCTGGTCTCCCATGGGGTGCAGGGCCCAAGCACTTGGGCCATCCTCCACTGCATTCCCTGGCCACAGCAGAGAGCTGGCCTGGAAGAGGGGCAACCGGGACAGAATCCAGCGCCCCGACCGGGACTAGAACCCGGTGTGCCGGCGCCGCAAGGCGGAGGATTAGCCTAGTGAGCTGCGGCGCCGGCCACAGGGAGAAAAATTTTAACATGCTTTCAAATGTATCGCTATGGTTTCACATTTAAATAATGCATGTATTATATTTACTAGAGTTATAACAAAAAATGAGATACACACATAGCAGATGTACAGAGCAACAGTATCTAAGGAAAAAAGATTAGTTAGGCAATTGTTAAATGAATATCCAGTGATAATTACTAAAAGTATTAAGATGAAGTAATTAATCTATAGCAGTGTAAAGAAAGACAGCTATTCCCACAAGCTAAGCGAATTCTCATAACAACTCTATGAAATAATTCTATTTGTACCCTAATGAGAAAATTATTATTTGCTCTATGTAGAAGTTAGAGAATTCACAATTCAGTCCTAGACCTGTCATCAAATCTTTACTGAATTCTTTATAACAAAACATAAATATAATAAAATATGAAAAATCATGATCTAAAAATGATATGCCAGTTTATTATTTGCATGGTGAGTTTTTTTTTTCTGTTTTTTGAATTTTTAAAATCATAAGTGGTTCTGGCGCTGATACTATAGTGCAGTGCATAAGGACACCACCTGTGCTGACATCTCATAGAGACACCAGTTCAAATACTGGCTGCTCCATTTCCAGTCCAGCTTACTGCTAATGCCCTGGAAAAGCAGTAGAAGATGGCAAGTGTTTGGGGCCCTTCCACCTACATTGGAGACCAGGAAGAAGTTCCTGACTCCTGGTTTTGGCCTGGCTCAGCCCTGGCTATTGCGGCCAAAGATCTCTCTCTCTAGCTCTGATTTTTAAATAAATAAATAGATAAACAGATAAATAAATGAACAGTTAAATAAATAGATAAATAAATACTTAAAAAAACAATAAAAATTAATGGTTCCCAAGAGTAAGGATGCTGAAAACATAAGAACGTATCACTAAGGAAATCTGTACCAGATACGGGTACTCTTGATGAGGTTCCAACTGAAATTAGACCAAAGATTTTTTTCTAGGTCCCCGAGAACTCTAGGACTCAATGTAGAGAAAATATTTCACATAGACATACCATTTGGAGCATTCCTTCAGTCCACAAGTTAGAATCTGGATCTACTGCCCGTTCAAATATGGTCCTGAGAATGTACATCATGATATCACAGTTGAGAAGGTTAATCACTTTGCTGAAAGCAGGGCAGAATTCAGGAGGTGATGGTGGTGGCAATGCTTGAGAATGGATGGGGAAAAAAAAACAGGTACATTTTTTTTCTTTTTTTTTTTTTTTGACAGGCAGAGTGGACAGTGAGAGAAAGAGACAGAGAGAAAGGTCTTCCTTTGCCGTTGGTTCACCCTCCAATGGCCCCCGCGGCCGGCACACCGCGCTGATCCGATGGCAGGAGCCAGGTGCTTCTCCTGGTCTCCCATGGGGTGCAGGGCCCAAGCACTTGGGCCATCCTCCACTGCACTCCCAGACCCTAGCAGAGAGCTGGCCTGGAAGAGGGGCAACCGGGACAGAATCCGGCGCCCCAACCGGGACTAGAACCCAGCGTGCCGGCGCCGCAAGGCGGAGGATTAGCCTAGTGAGCCACGGCACCGGCCACAGGTACATTTTTATTTGGGTTATCCTACATATTAAATTGCCAATGTCAAAAACACTAGATTGCATACACTACATATGATTTTTGATGCTTAATAACATCAATGTTAAGGGAAATGTAAATTACTGTCAGCTGATCAAAATAAACCCCATTTGCTATCAATTGTAAATTTTATCACCAATTATATAGGCAATATTTTAATATGTGAACAAAAAGCAAAAGGCTCTGTTCACTTCCTTCTAGATGTCTACTCTCAAAATCCAACAAAAACAAAACACTATATGCTTTGCTGACACAAAACCAAAGAAAATAGTCAAAATAAGTCAATTCAGAATCTCACTTTTTACCTTCATCTTTGTTTTCTCTCTGTCCCTCTCTCTCTCACTGTCCACTCTGCCTGTCAAAAATTAAAAAAAAAAAAAAGAAATCTTGAAACAAATGCAGAGAGGAAAGAATCATCCATCTACAAGGATATTTTATATACTGAAGCATATATTTAAAATGCTACCTTGTCTTAGAAACCAGATTGCCTACCTAGGAAAGAACACTGAGAAACAACTGACAAATAGCCTTCTTTAGAAATATTTACCTATAGGTGAGCACTGAGCCTAGGAACATAATCTTGTCCTGTATCATAGTGCCTGGGTTTAATCCCAGGCTCCAGTTCCTGCTTCCTTCTAGCTTCAAGCTAATGGAGACCTTGAGAAGCAGTGTTGATGGCTCAAGTAATTGGGTTCCTGCCATCTATGTAGGTATCCCTGGATTGAGTTTCAGGTTCTTAGTTTTGGCCCAGACTCAGACACAGCAACTGTGGGCTTTTGGGGACTGAACCAGCAAATGGGAGTTTTGTGTCTTGCTTGCTCACAACTCTTAAATAATTCATCTACTGGGGTCGGTGCTGTGGCATAGAAAGTTAAGCCTCTGTCTGCAGTGCCAGCATCCCATATAGGACAGCATCCCAGCTACTCTACTTCCAATCCAGCTCTCTGCTAATGCGCCTGGAAAAGGAGCTGAGGATGGTTCAAGTGTTTGTGCCCCTGCACCTTCATAGGAGATCTGGATGAAGCTTCTAGCTCTTGGCTTCAGATCAGCCCAGCTCTTGCCACTGCAACATTTTGAGAATGAACCAGTGGATGAATGATCTGTCTCTTTAACTCTGCCTTTCAAATAAATGAAATAAATCTTTAAAAAATTACCTATTGCCTATTACATACAGGGTACTGTGCTAAGGACTGTAAATTATTCATTTTACAAGGATGAAACCAGATATCATCTTCACTACATGATCAAACTTAACATCACCTTTCATGGGATAGACATCACCTAGGTAGTACTCCTACCTAAAAATGTTTTAAATTGAGTCTAATCATGATAATACAATAAGATGTATAATGTAGGTTATTCCAAAAGACAATTAGCCTGTACTTTATAGAAATGTCAAAGTTGCGAAAAACAAAAAGAATAAAAGGTTTATCCTAAAGAACCTACAGAAACATTGACAACTAAATGATCTATTTGATTATTAAACAAGTTCAAGATATATGAATGCATCCTCCTTCCCTAAGGACAGATAAAAAGGACATTTTTATATAACTAGAAAGATCTGAATATTGCCTGCATACAGTATTATTGATGCGATTTCAATTTCTTGGGTATGACAATGCTCCTTAATAAGAATCAGCACGAAAGTATGGAACAACAAGGAACTTTTCTGTGGCATTAGAAAGGATAAAGCATTTTAGGCTTATTCACTGAAGAGACAACTTTTTCCTACCTTGCTATGCTGTGTTTTAGAGTAATGATAAAAGTACATGTTGAAGTCTTTTAATGATTCATCTTTCAATTCATAAACTCCATGGCCTGATACACCAGGTTTCCTAAGTAGATGGAAAATACAGAAATGTTCTTGAAGTATAGAATACAAACAAAATAAAAACCTAAAATTCTAAGATTTTCAAACTGAAATGATAAATTTCATTACAGTAGTAAAAACTAAAAACACTGCAAACAAAAAGTTCTGATGATAGTTGTTATATATATATTTTATTATTATGAAATACAAACACATTTGGGGAAGTTTATTTTATACTATCTAGATCTGATCCCATGCCTTATTTAAATTCCTAAGATTTCTTTTATAGCCTCTGAAACCTAAAGGTTGCCTATTCAACTAAAGCACATTGCATTGCATAAGGTCTAATCTAAAATGGTGGGAAAAGATCATATTCCCATCAAGTTGTAGATGAAAATACAGTGTTGAATTCTCTATACAGTACTATAAAGAAAAGCATCAAGGTCAAAAAGAGTACACCATATTTGTTCTAAACATCAAATATCTTTTGGTTTCTATTCAATTTTTAAGTCAAATATTACACTCAACATTACTAGAGGATAAGACAAGGTATACCCTGTTTTAAGAGCTATTTGAAACTAGTGATTTATCTATAAACTAGATACTATAACAAGTAGAAATTTACTACCAGTATTAATCATTCAAATATCAAGTTAGTCCAATTAAAATTTTATTCCAATCTATATGTCTCAAAGAATGAAAAGATTGTAAAATACTATAATTCTGCTAGAGAAAAATCTAAAATTGGCAAACAAAATAAAATATTCTATAGAATAACAGAAATCATGGCTATGAATTAATGGAAAGAGACTTTGGAAAGACTTACTATCTAAATTATTTACTGACACAAATGGGTATTTCTCATTCATTTGCACAAAAAAACTCATTTATTCAAGTATGCACACCTCACTCTCATTCTCTCTACTCTGTAGTCCTTTCTTATTCTTGGGAATTCTGGCAAGATATTCAGAGTTTCTATAAAGTATCAAGGGTATAAGAACAATGATCAATTTACCTTAGAATAATCATAAATATTAAGCACTTACTTAAATGTGGCCACTTTGTTTATGACGTTCTCTAAGCCCGTTTCATTATTTTCCTGTTGAAGGAATATTTTTATTTTTACCTTCATATAATGACTTTCTGTTAAAGCAAACTGAAATACATTTTCAACTGCATGTCTGACATATTTTGTAAACAATAAGAGATTTCAAATATAAAAATATTAAATCAAAAATCAATTAGCTGTATTTTGAAGGACCAATGTTTAAGAGAAAAGATCTATGTAAAACTGCTTAAAAAAGAAATGCTGGGGCTGGCACTATGATGTAGTGGGAAAGCCACTGCCTACAGTGTAGGCATCCCATATGGGCACCGGTTTGGTTCAAGTCCTGGCTGCTGCACTTCCGATCCAGCTCTCTGCTATGGCCTGGCAAAGCAATAGAAGATGGCCCAAGTCCTTGGGTCCCTGCACCCACATGGGAAGACCTGGAGGAAGCTCCTGGCTCCTGGCTTCAGATTGATACAGCTCTGGCCATTGTGGCCAACTGGGGAGTGAACCAGCGGATGGAAGACCCCTCTCTCTCTCTCTCTCTGCCCCTTTCTCTCTGTGTGTAACTCTGACTTTCAAATCAATCAATCAATCTTTAAAAAAAGAGAAAGAAATGCCATTCAAATTTGCTTTCACATTTGTCTATAACTCCCAACACACACATAAAGCATTACGAATAGTTCAAAATAAATTTTTTATGTAGTATGCTCATCATCCACATCATTTAAGCATATACCCATGCTGTGCTAATCCCTAAAACCAATTTAACAATAAATGGTATCCAACTAGTAATACACCACAAAAAACATGTGTAGATATCCTCAAGTATGTTTTTTTCTGATTGGCCTGAACTTTTCATTGAAGATGGAATACTGTTTTTTTTATGAGGTCATTTAAAATTAGGATGAGGACCTAGCCAAGCTGCTTATAGATTCTTACAGTCTTGCAAAAATTAAGAAATTAAACCTATTTTTTAAAAGAACAGAGATAAGGTAAGCAGCAAAAAGTCCTAATACTTTTATTTATTTATTTTTTTGTAAAGCATGGTATACATATCACACTAGCCACATGTGAAATTTTTTAGGTATCACATAAAATTTTTAGAGTTTTGAAAAATTATTTACTTGTTTTTAATATGCACTAAGGAGAAAATAATCCAGGATATCAAGCCTACTATTCCACAGCTATGCTGAGAAATATTTAAGAAAAAAAGTTGACATTAACACTGTATTAATCATAAAACAGGTAGATGGATATGCAAAAATTATAAAGGTAATAGACCAAATGACTACAATTTGAGAACCAATTAACAATGAAACTGGAAAAAGATAAAAATAATTTGGGAACAGAAACAACCAGTAGTCAAAGCTTATCTCTATCTTCCTGAAAAACTTTGACAGCAACAGGTAAGTATAATTATTTTTAAAAAATCACTGTTTAATTTATATTCAAATCTCAAGGGAAAAATATAAGATGCAAAACCTTTAGGACTAGGGATGGTGTTGTGGTGTAGTGGGTTAAGCCACTGCCTTACAACACTAGCATCTCATATAAGTGCTGGTTGGAATCCTAGCTGCCCCACTTCTGATACAGCTCCCTGCTAATGGGCCTGGGAAAGTAGTGGAAGATGGACAGAGTTCTTGGGCCCTTGCCCCCAACATGGGAAACCAGATGAAGTTTTAGGCTCCTGGTTTCGGCCTGGCCCAACCCTAGCTATTGCGGCCACTGGGGAGGGAACAGCAGATGGAAGTGCACACTCTCTCTCTGTAACTCTGTCTTCCAAATAAGTAAATAAATCTCAAAACAAAAACAAACCCCTTTTGGACTATCACTTCAATATCTATATATAAAAACATAAATACTATCTGTGGTGGCCATTAGAATCCACCTTGTAGATTTCCCATTGGGAAAGTAAAACCACGTGCCTCAGCTGCTGTGCTCTGGTCACACCACGGCCAAGTTTCTTAGGAGCTTCCAGACAATAAGCAAGTCAGAGACACAATGCAGGGACACATAGGAAAGCACCAATGCTCAACAGTCCAGAATCGTTCCATTTAATCCTCCTTTTTCTCTCACCAGGAATATGACTTGTGTAAAACTCTGACAATTCCCCTGGCTGTCTCCACTCTCACCATTTTTGCTAATAATAAAATCCATTTAAAAAAAAGATTTATTTATTTATTAAAAAGCAGAATTACAGAGAGGCAGAGGCAGAGAGAGAGAGAGAGAGAGATCCTCCATCTGCTGGTTCACTCCCCAAATGGCCTCAATAGCCAGAGCTGAGCTGATCGGAAACCAGGAGTCAGGAATTTTTTCTGGGTCTCCCACATGGTTGCAGGGGCCCAAGGACTTGGGCCATCTTCTACTGCTTTCCCAAGCCACAGAAGAGAGCTGGATCTGAAGAGGAGCAGCCAGGACATGAACAGGTGTCAGCTCCAAACCATTAAGATTTTATTACTGGGTCAGGTGCCATGGTGTAGTGGGTAAAGCCACCGCCTGCAGTGCCAGCATTCCATATGGGTGCCAGTTCAAGTCCCAGATTAACATACTACACACACAGTCTTAGTATTTCATGAAACCTCCTTTTTCTCTGGGAAATACTAGTTTAAGCAAACAAAAAGTCAAAGTTTCATCCAGAAATAAATTTTGTATCACTAGAGGATGAGTGGTGATTGATTTACATAGGGTTTTCTGCTAGACAATTGTTTCTGAAATTTGAAGTTGCTTCCAATTTAAGAAAAAAATATCCCATCTTCAGATGAAGAGAAAAAAACAAGATTGGACTTACATTCTCTGGCAAATTTTTGGCAATGGCACTGTGGGGCATGGGTTCAATGCAAAGCAGGTGAATAATTTCTCTCATTGTGACCTCTTCTTTAGTCACATTTCCTACTCCAGGCACATAACGCTCACCTAATACAAACAATGAAAAGAAAAAGTAAACTGATTAACTGCTTTCTATTAAAACATCTTCCCACCAGGAACACTTGTATATAGAACACTGCATTAAGTCCATAAGAAGAGACAGAAAATGATTTGGACATGTTCCTAAATCTGAACAAGAGTCTGTTGCAAGACAGGGAGAATACTGAAGTGACTTGGGGAAGAATCCAGGCTGTGTCTTAACTTACTTATATACACATACACATACATATACATACACATACTCACACATTATAAACCAGGCCCCTCAATTAAATTAGCATGTGTTCCTAATCCAGAAAACAAGGCAGATGGCATCTGAATGAGCAGTGGCCATCACTGAATAGCTTTTCTTTCAAGATCTTCCTCAATTTTGTCTCTACTTGTTATTTAAGAAACAAAGTGAAAACTGAAAAACAAAATACTTAAAAATGTCCTCATGGGTTAAATGACAAAACAGTAATATGTATCAGGAATGACTAGTGTTGTCAAAATGCCCACATGGTCAATTTTCCATTTTTCATCACAATAAACTGCCAAATGGAGACAGGAAATGGCTAAATAAATTATGGGAACGGGAACTTAGCTGGATGCCAACAGCATCTAACTCTCATTGCCTTAAGACGAGTTACAGCATCTTTTACATTGACTCTTAATACTACAACATCTGTATGAAGACCTAGGATATATATAAGGTTACAAAGAAAGAAATGCCTTATCTGAGAGATTTGATGGATTATATACAAATCTGTCAGAGAATAACTTCGTTAAGTGAATTTGTTTCCAACATACTCATCTTTACATTTGTATAGTTATTTTGTGACAGAATTTTTTTTTTTTGCCAGAAACAGTATTCCCTAGATTTTTAGTGCTATAAGGAACCTTAGGGATCATGTCGATTACATCTACAAATAAACCAGGAATCTAAAACCCAAAGAACATAAGTGGAATGCTCTTGATAGCTGACAGCAAGGCCAAGACTAGACTTAAATTCTAATTCCATTATAAAATCAGAGATTATAATTGTTTTAAACAAAAATTCTGAACTTATACTCAAATATACCAAGAATTAACTAAAAAAATCAAATCACATAGAAGGAGAAACCCAATAAATCTGAGTATACATAACAGCAGTAAAATAATAGTAGCAATAACGAGATAACAAAAAACAAAAAAGCAAAAATAAAGTACAAATTCAAAATTCATAGTTTTCCAGAGACAAACATAAAAAATTCTCTATTTTTTAATTTGATAAAGTATATAATCAATGTCAAAATATTTTACATATTTTAATCTGTCCATTTTCTCTCATCAGTTTCTTACTGGAATATTCTGGACAGAAAGAATTAGCAGCCTGGAAGATCTATGTCTCGCATAACAATAAAGACTTACCACACTTTCTGCTAAGATTAGCAGGTAGTCTATCAAAAATATTTCTGATGGAACAGCAAGTAAAATGAATTCATTTTTAAAGATTTAGCTAATAGCTAAAATCCTCACTAGGAATTAAAACAAGTGCCTGGTATAGTAAAATAAATAACAAAGGCCAGAAAGAGAAGTTGAGAGTAAGATGATGGCAATAGAGTGTGCCCAGCTGATGAAGTCAGCAGATATTATGATATAGTATATATCTATATTCAGTGGACTAGAATCTGTAACTGTTTCTGCAAGGAATACTTGATTCCATCTGAATTATAACACGCATTTCTAAAGGTCAATATCATAGTAATTTGAGAGATATTCTTTTGGCAAAGAATATTCTTTTCCCTTTCTCTAAGTTATCTTCACAAAACTAAGAACTAATTTAACAGAACGAAACAGTGAAAATATATTTTACTTAGATCTGTTATGTTTAAATTTCATACATATCTAAGGTTTTTAACACTAAATGAGATCTTTTAAATCTACATTTGTATCTGAGATAATTATATACCAGATGTCTAAACAAGTCCAAACAACTACAAATCAAGTATTGAAAAATAAAAATACAAGATCTGGCTAAGTTTTAATCATATCTGTCACATTAAACTCTAACTAATACTCTATGCTATATAATGATTAATTATATTGCTATTGAGGTTCTCTCTAAAGAGTAACCCATGTTCTGTTTCAAAACGTTTTCTTTGTTTTAATCTTACCCACAACATAGATGAGGACCTGAAGCATTTCTTCTATTAATGTATTATATTGTTTAATCAAATCCTATAGAATTGAAACAGAATAAATTAGTTACATAAGAACTAAAAACTTCCATAAAACATGCATTTCTGGATCTGACTCATGGGCTGTCCAGTCCAGGACTTTCTTTTTTAACAGCAACAGATAGTTTTAATAAATAGTTTCCTTGTTTGATAGCAAACTCAACAAAGTTTGCAATATCCTGCACATAAGAACTCAGCAACAACTGCCAAATACTCTCATTATTTCCATAATCACCATTCTCCATAATGTCTTAAGCCAACAAACTAATTCTAATCTTTAACTCTTCCTCTACTGCTAGCTTCCTTCTTACCTGAGTTAGCAAGACTTCAAATGGATACCCAACAGTTAGAGTGAGAGTACCATTCCCTAATACATCACTCATTTAAGTACCGTATCAAATCAGATATTCAATTCGTTTGTATTTTATAGTCTACTTTTGGCCTTTGTTAAGACTTCTAATTTGAAAGAATAAAGTAATGGAACTTTACAAATTCAAAGTAGTTAAGAGCTACTTTATAGGTGGGTACTTTAAATATTAAAATTGGGGAGGGGGGGACAGCTATTGTGGTACAGCAGGTTAAAGCCACTGCCTGCAATGCTAGCATCCTGTATCGGCTGTTCCACTTCTGATCCAGCTCCCTGCTAAGGCACTGAAGAAAGCAGAGGAAGATGTCTCCAGCATTTGGGCCCCTAACACCCATGTAGCTCTAGTCTCCTGGCTTTGGCCTAGCCCAGATCCAATGGTTTAGGCCATTTGGGGAATGAACCAGCGGAAGGAAGATCTCTTTCTCCCTATCTATTGCTCTGTCACTCTGCCTTTCAAATAAATAAAATAAATCTTTAAAATAAGTAAATATTAAAACAAACATTATGAGACAAATTACAAACTGTGAAAATCTAACAAATGCAGTAAGAAATGAGTTAATATTCTTCCTAAATATGAAGCTTTTTCAAAACCAGAGAAAACGTAAATGACAATTAACAGAGAATTCATTGCCAAAAGAAAAGAAACAACTGCGAATAATGAAACAATGGTTAACTTCACTGATAATTAATAAACTGTTAAAATATCATCTTTAGGGGGCCGGCGCTGTGACGCAGCAGGTTAAAGCCCCAGTCTGCAGCGCCAGCATTCCATTTGGGTGCCAGTTCGAGTCCCGGCTGCTCCACTTCCAATCCAGCTCCCTGCTGATGGCCTGGGAAAGCAGTAGAAGATGGCCCAAGTCCTTGGGCTCCTGCGTCCACGTGGGAGACCCAGAAGAAGCTCCTGACTTTGGATCAGCACAGCTCCGGCCATTGTGGCCATCTGGAGAGTGAACCAGCGGATAGAAGACCTCTCTCTGTCTCTACCTCTCTCTGTAACTCTGTCTTTCAAATAAATCAAATAAATCTTTTAAAAAAATCATCTTTACCAATCTATAAAGGTTTAAAATACCATGCCATTACAGATGAACATAGAGAAATGATTTTTCTGAGAGCAGTTAGACAATACGTATTTAGAACCTTAAAAGAGAGTATGCTTTTTTATCCTCTGAATCCACTTCTAAGAATTTATCTTTAAAAAAAAATCAGAGAAGTGTTTTAAACACTAGGAAAAATCTGTTCAGCAGTAGGAGACTACAGTATAATTCATTCATACAACACAATATTTCACAGTCATTAAAAATGATACAAAAATGATATACTTGTAAACTTACTTAATCACAAGAAACCCATCACAATATTTTGTGAAGTATAAAAAGCAGATTAAAAAACAGCATACACAGAATAGACTATTTGTTTAAAAATGAGACATCAACTTTAAATGTGATCATGTACTTTTTCTTCTCTTTGCTAACCTATATATTTTAATTTTTAAGAGTAAAAAAATATGTGTACCTATCCATGCTACTGTATATATGAGATTTTTAAAATGTATTTAAATGCTTATTTTCATGTACTTTAAAGGCAGAGTGACAGAGAGAGAGAGAGAGAGAGAGAGAGAGAAGAAGAAGGAAGGGAGGGAGGGAGGGAGGGAGGGAGGGAGGGGGAGGGAGAGAGAAAGAGAGAAGAGAAAGAAATCTTCCTTCTGTTGGTTTACTCTTCAAACTCCAACCACAGCTGGGGCTAGGTAGGCCAAATCCAGGAGCCCAGAATTCCATCCAGATCTCCCATGTGAGTGGTAGGGGCCAAAGCACTTGAGCCACCACCTGTTGCTTCCCAAGATACATTAATAGGAATCTGGATTGGAAGCAGAGCAGCCAGGACTTGAAGTGGCACTCTGGCTGGCATAAGATGTGGGTGCCCCAGGCGGTGGTTCAACCTGTTGTGCTACAACACCCATTCATTTTGTGTGATTTTTAAGAGGTTTACATAAACAAACTTTAACATTTCCTTTGGAATTAATTTTCCTATCAGTTTCTGCTGCTTACCTGGTCTTTTGTGGAGATGGTCTTGTTAAAAGCCTCAGCAAGTTCATACCTCTGAAGTACCAATAGCAAGAACTTGTTAGGATCCATTAAAGAGGCACCAATCTGTAAAAAAAGATGCTGCATCACTTTCCTGAGTAATAAATGAAGAAACACTTTGTGTCTGGTAACACTGTTAAAAAATTACTCAATAAATTTTCAAAAGACAACATAGCAGTTTCTACTATTTCTATGATATATTCAGTTTAATGGGAAGAAAAATCTAAGGAGAGTTAAAAAATAATACAATATCCTCTCATCATAAAGAGTATCTTAAGGTAACTTAACGGGATACCTGAAGCATGATGATATCTTTATCATACATTTCTTCTCTGCACTTAACGTCTTGGTAATAAAACACCTATAAAATAAAAGGTAGATTAGAAGCTAAGAGAATTATTTTATTTCCAACAAAGTTCTCAATAAAGCTCTTCTTAAAACTCTCCTAAAGCTAGAACTCTTAGAACTCCTTAGTGATAAAAAAAAAAAGTAAGTTGTAAATGTCTGAATCATCTTACAGGATTTGCAAGGATAAACTGAGGAAGTATGGTATCAAAGAACATGAAATTGAAAAATGGTCTATATTGGTCATTTCCCTTGGCATGTGTAACAAAAAAAATTTATTTAACCTTTAGTTTAAAATGCCTACTTCCATAAAATTAAACAAATTTCTACATTAAATCCTAACACCATTTTTTCCCAGGTAGTAATTTACAAGTCATATTTTCCACCTTTCAGGAAAAGCACTTCTCTGTATTTACTCTAACAAAGAAGGGACAATTTCAAGGTAGCACTTGATTAAGATAGATAGTGGAAAGAATAAAGGCCTCTAAGTAAGATACTCTTAAGAAAAGAGCTATTAAAGGTGAGGTTTCTGGAGGTTCTGCTGGCTTTTACCTATTCAGTTCATCAAGGCACCCTGGTCTCTTATAATTCTGATAGTATAAGCAGTAAATAGTATAAAAAGAGAAGTGCCTATATGATCCTTGGAACATTCACATCTAAGAGTTTATCCAAGAGAAAAGAAGCAAAATCTAAAGATACAGTAGATCCTACTGTACCTGGCTAATGAGAGAGAGTCCATTTCTTCGCCACATCTCAGCAACAACCTGGGCAACCAGTACCAGACAACGCAAAGGATATTCCACTAGTACCTCTATGTGAAAATCCTCCTGAAACAAATGAATTCAATTACATTATTTCTTTTTTAAATATTTTATATTATTTGGGAGGCAGAGTTACAGAGAGAGGGACAGACAGAGAGGAAGCTCTTCCATCTGCTGGTTCACTCCCCAGATGGCTGCAATGGCCAGAACTAGGCCAATCTGGAGCCAGGAGCTTCTTTCAGGTCTCCCACATGGATAAACGGGCCCAGTGATTTGGGCCATCATCTGCTGCTTTCCCAGGCCATCAGCAGAGAGCTGGATCAGAAAAGCAGCAGCCAGGACATGAACTGGTGCCTATATGGGAAGTCAGTGCCACAGGCAGAGGCTTAGCCTATTATGCCACAGTGCCAGCCAAATTTAATTATTTCTTACAGAGCTTGGATGTGTCTCACTTATGACTGTGCACATTTTTTAGTTTTCTCATCTGTTAACTGGAAAGGCTTGAACCACATGACTTCAAAGTCCTTGTGATTCAAATCTCAGTGTGATATACAGTTATTAACTATGATAGACTGGTAAATTAGGTGAGTTTCCAAATATTTTATTTCCCGCTCATCAACCAAGAAGTATTCAGAAACAAAATAAAATCAAATCAATAATTAATAGAGTCACTTACAAAAGGCACAAATTCATGAAGTCTTGAAACGGCACCCAGCCTGCTTAAACGTACATGAAGACCTAAAATTTAAAAAAAGAGAAAATGTGAAAGCAATTAAACCTATTCAATTTGTTTAGTAGTTAACTCATCAAATTTGTCAATTTGAGTGATTTGAATGTAAATTTAGAGATGATATTCTACCATGTAAACTGAATGACATCTGATTTTAAAACTATTACCAACATACATGGGGTCTTCAAAAAGTTCATGGGTTGGGCGTGGTAGGGCTAAACATGGCTCAATAGGTTAGGCTGTCACTCAGGATGCATGCATTCCCTAACAGAACACCAGCTTGAGTCACAGCTGCATTATTGATGATTCACCTTTCTGCTAATGCAGAAAGGCAGAGTTACAGACAGGCAAAGGCAGAGAGAGAGGTCTTTCATCCATTTGTTCATTCCCAAACAGCCACAACAACCGGAGCTGGGCAGATCTGAAGCCAGGAGCCAGGAGCTTCTTCGGGTCTCCCATGTGGGTGCAGAAGCACAAGCATTTAGATCATCTTTCACTGCTTTCCCAGGCCATAGCAAAGAGCTGGATCAGAAGCAGAGCAGCCGGGTCTCAAACTGGTACCCATATGAGATGCTGGCACTGCGGGCAGTGGCTTTACCTGCTATGCCACAACGCCAGCCCCTAATGAATTTTTAGAATGAGTGGAAGATGGCTCAAGTGCTTGGCCCCTTCCACCCACATAGGATTCCTGGATGGAGTTCTTGGCTCTTGGCTTCAACCTGATCCAGCCCTGGCTACTGCAGGAATTTGAAAAGTGAACCAACCAATGGATGGAAGATCTCTTTTTGTCATTTGCCTCTGTCATTCTGCTGTTCAAGTAGATGAAAATAAACATTTTTTTCAAAAAAGCTCATGGAAAATGCATACTATGAGAAAAACTATCCATGGATTTCAAAAACTCTTACTTAAAAACAAATTTATGTCTTAATTCTATTTTCCATGAAATGCAAAACTTATTTTTATTTGAAAGACAGAGAAACAGATTTTCCACCTGATTGTTCATCCCCAAAAGTCTGGAACAGCCAGGGCTGGGCTGGGCCAGGCTGAAACCCAGAGCATGGAACTCAAAACAGGTCTCTTATGTGAATGACAGGGATCCAAGGACTGGAGCTTGCTGCCTCACAGGGCATGCACTAGCAGGAAACTGGAAAGGGAAGCCAAGGCAGGACTAGAGCCAGACACACCAGTCTGGGATACAGACACCCCAAATAGTGTCTTCACTGCTGTGCCAAATACTAGCTACTTCTATGAACTTTCTGAAATCTCCTTGTACTTAAATCTTATAGGTATGTTCATACATTATATAAGAATAATATGCTGGCCGGCGCCGTGGCTCACTAGGCTAATCCTCCGCCTTGCGGCACCGGCACACCGGGTTCTAGTCCCGGTCAGGGCGCCGGATTCTGTCCCGGTTGCCCCTCTTCCAGGCCAGCTCTCTGCTGTAGCCAGGGAATGCAGTGGAGGATGGCCCAAGTGCTTGGGCCCTGCACCCCATGGGAGACCAGGATAAGTACCTGGCTCCTGCCATCGGATCAGCGCAGTGTGCCGGCTGCAGCGCGCCGGCAGCGGCGGCCATTGGAAGGTGAACCAACGGCAAAGGAAGACCTTTCTCTCTGTCCCTCTCTCTCTCACTGTCCACTCTGCCTGTCAAAAAAAAAAAATAAACAAACACAGAGTAACATAAAAATCACATGATGTCGGGCCGGCGCCGCGGCTCACTAGGCTAATCCTCCGCCTAGCGGCGCCGGCACACCAGGTTCTAGTCCCGGTTGGGGCGCCGGATTCTGTCCCGGTTGCTCCTCTTCCAGGCCAGCCCTCTGCTGTGGCCAGGGAGTGCAGTGAGGATGGCCCAGGTGCCTTGGGCCCTGCCACCCCATGGGAGACCAGGAAAAGCACCTGGGCTCCTGGCTCCTGCCATCGGATCAGCGCGGTGCGCCGGCCGCAGCGCGCTGGCCGCGGCGGCCACTGGAGAGTGAACCAACAGCAAAGGAAGACCTTTCTCTCTGTCTCTCTCACTGTCCACTCTGCCTGTCAAAAAATAAAAAAAATTTTAAAAAAATCACATGATGTCAGTTATATCATATAAAAAAACAGATAAAAGATCTAAACATAGGAGACAAAACTACAAAATTCTTATAATAAAACACCAGGAGAAGGATTCATGACCTTAGATTTCATAGTATTTCTTGGATCAAATGCACAGGCAACAAAAGAAAAACAGATAATTTGGCTACACCAAAAATTCTTGTGCATCAGAGGATACTATCAATACAATGACATGTAAATCATAAAGAAGCAAAATTCCCATATGGTACCGCAATTGAAGCATACCCAAAATACTTGAAAGCAAGGATTCACACAGCTATTTGAACATCAATGTTCACAACAGTATTATTCCCAGTGCTGGCACTGTGGCATAGTAGAGTAACCTCCACCTGCAGTGCCAACATCCCATACAGGTGCCAGTTTTAGTCCTGGCTGTTCCACTTCCGATTCAGCTCCCTGCTGATGGCCTGGGAAAGCAGTGGAAGATAGCCAAAGTACTTGGGCCTGCACATCCACATGGGAGACCTGGAAGAGGCTCTTGGCTCCTAGCTTTGGATCGGCCCAGCTCCAGCTGTTGTGGCCATTTGGGGGAGTGAACCAGCAGATGAAAGACCTCTCTCTCTCTATCCCCCTCACTCTGTATCTCTGCCTCTCAAATAAAGAAATCATAAAAAAAAAAAAGAAAAGTAACTCATGTGTCATTAATGGAGAAATGAACAAAATGTAGTGTAGGCATATAATGCAATATTATTCAGCCTGAAAAAGGAAGGAAATCCTGGCCGGCGCTGAGGCTCAATAGGCCTGCAATGCCGGCACCCTGGGTTCTAGTCCCAGTCGGGGCGCCAGATTCTGTCCCGGTTGCCCCTCTTCCAGGCCAGCTCTCTGCTATGGCCTGGGAGTGCAGTGGAGGATGGCCCAAGAACTTGGGCCCTGCACCCCATGGGAGACCAGGAGAAGCACCTGGCTCCTGCCTTCGGATCAGCGCGGTGCACCAGTCGCAGCATGCCGGCCACGGCGGCCATTGGAGGGTGAACCAATGGCAAAAGGAAGACCTTTCTCTCTGTCTCTCTCACTGTCCACTCTGTCAAAAAAAAAAAAAAAAAAAAAGGAAATCCTGAAACACACAGCAACAAGGAGAGTGAGGACACTATGCTAAGTGAAATAAGCCACAAGAAAACAGGGAGTTTATGATTCCATTTAAAATAGATATCTAGAGTAGTCAAATTTATAGACAGAAAGTAGAATAGTAGTTGCTAGAAACTATGTGTGTGTGTGGGTGGGTGTGGGTATGGTATTATTATTAACAACTATATATTTAAGACATAGAAGTTGGGGTTGGTACTGTGGAATAGTAGGGTAAGCTTCTGCCTGCAGCGCTGGCATCCCTTATGGGTGTCAGCTCATGTCCTGGCTGCTCCTCTTCCAATCCAGCTCTCTACTATGGTCCAGGTAAGCAGAAGATGATCCATATAATGCTTGGGTCCCTGCACCTGTGTGGGAGACCCAGAAGGAAGATCTTCTCTGTCTCTCCCTCTCTCTATAACTCTACCTGTCAAATAAATAAATCAAATCCTTTAAAAAAAGATAAATAAGTTTTATTTTTGGAAGATGAAAAGAGTTCAAGAGATGAATGGTGGTGATGGCTGTACAACAGTCTGAATATACTTAATAGCACTGTACACTTCCAAAGGGTTAACATGGTAATTTTTATGTTATATATATTTTACCACCATTAGAAACACTTCAGTAGTGGCCAATGCTATGGTGTAGCGGGTAAGGCCACCACCTGCAGTGCTGGTATCCTATATGGGCACTGGTTCAAGTCCCAGCTGCTTCACTTCCGATCCAATTCTCTGCTATGGCCTGGAAAACAGTGGAGGATTGTCTGGGTCCTTGAGCCCCTGTACCCGCATGGGAAGACCTGGAGGAAGTTCCTGGCTCCTGGCTTCAGATCAATGCCGCTCCGTCCACTGCAGCCAATTGGGGAATGGACCAGCAGATGAAAGACCTCTCTCTCTCTCTGCCTCTCCTTCTCTGTGTAACTCTGACTTGCAAATAAATAAATAAAAAACACTTCAATAAAGTTTTTTTAAAAAAGACCAACTGGGGTTGGCATTGTGGCATAGCATGTAAAGTAGCCACCTACAGTGCTGGCATCCCATATGGGCGCCAGTTCAAGTCCCCGCTGCTCCACTTCCAATCTAGCTCTCTGCTGTGGCCTGGGAAAAACAGTAGAAGATGGCCCAAGTCCTTGGGCCCCTGCAACTGTGTTGGAGACCTGGAAGTAGTTCCTGGCTCCTGGCTTCAGATCATCCCAGCTCCAGCTGTTCCAGCCACTTCGGGAATGAACCAGCGGATGGAAGACCTCTCTCTCTCTCTGCCTCTGCCTCTCTGTAATTCTGCCTTTCAAATAAATAAGTACATCATTTTTTTTTTTTTTTTTTTGACAAGCAGAGTTAGACAGTGAGAGTTGGTTCACCCCCTAAGTTGCCACTACGGCCAGTGCATTGCGGCCGGTGTGCTGTGCCGATCTGAAGCCAGGAGCCAGGTGCTTCCCCCTGGTCTTCCATGCGGGTGTAGGGCCCAAGCACTTGGGCCATCCTCCACTGCCCTCCCGGGCCACAGCAGAGAGCTGGACTGGAACAGGAGTAACCGGAACAGAATCCAGCGCCCTGACCAGGACTAGAACCTGGGGTGCTGGTGCTGCAGGCAGAGAATTAGCCTAGTGATCCACAGTGCCGGCCCAATAAGTAAATCTTTAAAAAAAAAAAAAAAACTGATAAAGGATGAATTGACATGGAAATTCAAGATTAAAGGAAATAATGATTTCATTCTTTTGGTGGTGAAGAAACAGTGACACAGACAAAACACTAGAAAAATTAGGTAGAAAGTGGCATTCTAAGATTTGATCACATTTAACTCTGAATGAGAGATGAGTTACCAAGTTAGCCCTAATGTGTATACTGTAGGGATCCATTAGTTGACCAGAATAAAAAAAAGCTTAGGTAAAAAAGCACCCTTAGCCTGCTGTTCTGGTGATAGCTCCTTAAAGGAGAGTGGCAGCCTTAACTGCAGTGTCTGATTGGAGTATGTCTGTATATCCAGCACAGAACCAGAACAGAAATGATTTTACTACTCAGAACATGTCAAAAACAGTGACCAGAAATATCTGAAAAGCAAAAAACAAAACTCACCAGCAAGGGTCCTAGAGAGTGGCAGATGTATGCTTACAAGATCCTCAGATACTCTGTAGGACTTAGTTTCCAACATATGGCCACACAATTGCACTACTGTCTTGCTACCTGATAGGAAACTTGTACTGCACCTCATCACAGCTCTGTGACATTCTTTATAAGCCACTAGTAAGAGTTCTTCCTAAAAGGAAAATAAAAATGCAAAGAACATTGACAAGTTACTTACTTTGCCATTCAGCATTCAACACTTACTAAATATGAGTGCAAAATTGTTCCACGTAAAACTAGGGCTACTTCAATAGGATGTGCAAACCAACAGGAAAGATACACATACATATATACATATAATCAAAGTAAAATTTTGTAAGTACTATTTAAATAGCACAAACTAATTGCCTTAACAAGGCAAAGAAAAGGATCACAAACAATTGGTAAAATATATCTGTGAAAGCAGCTTTTGAACAGGTTCTAACAGAATATGCAAAATTTAAGTACAGGGAAAGATGAAGAGAAGGTGCATTCCAAGCAGAGATGTGGAACAAAGATAAAAATAAAGGAAAACTACAATTCTTGATCAGGCAGTGGAGAGGAATAAAAACTAGATAAATCAAAGGATTTATGGATGAAATTAATGAACAATCTAGCTAGAAATATGCCTTGGCATTGCTATGTGAATACACTAATTGTGTCTAACATGTAATAATGTAGTCAACATACTGCTTCAAAAATTATTGTATATGAAGTTAGCAGATAGAAACCCTATAGGAAGCTCACTAGAAGTATGGATGTAAAGCCTAAGAGTCAAAATTAGAGTGGGACAATTAGGATAGAAACAAATAAACCCACAGACAATAAATTAGGAATTTAAAGTACATTTGGGATTAAGAAGAAACATTTGGGTAATTATGTCAGGAACTAAAAAGAATCAAAGGTCACTCATAAGACAGTCATTTCTTACAATTATCTTTCTTTTTTTTTTTTTTTTTTTTTTTTTTTTTTAAGGATTTATTTGAGGGGCCGGCACTGTGGCGCAGCGGGTTAATGCCCTGGCCTGAAGCATCGGCATCCCATAGGGATGCCAATTAAAAACCCAGCTGCTCCACTTCTGATGCAGCTCTCTGCTATAGCCTGGGAAAGCAGCACAAGATGGCCCAAGTCCTTGGGCCCCTGAACCCCATGGGAGACCCGGAGGAAGCCTCTGGCTCCTGGCTTCGGATCAGCGCAGCTCCAGCCGTTGTGGCCAATTGGGGAGTGAACCAGCAGATGGAGGACCTCTCTCTCTCTCTCTGTAACTCTGACTTTCAAATAAAATAAATAAATCTTTAAAAAAATATTTATTTGAAAGTGTTGCAGAAAGAAAAGGAGAGACACAGAGAGAGATCTTCTATCCACTGGTTCACTCCCCAGACAGCCACAACTGCCAGGGCTAGGCCAGGTCGAAACCAGGAGTAGGTGGCAGGGGCCTGAACACTTGGGCCATGCTCTGCCACTTCTTCCAGGTCATCACCAGAGAGCTGCATTGGAAGTGGAGCAGCCAGGACACAAAAAGGTACCCAAATGGGATACTAGTGCCACAGGCGGCATCTTTACTCACTATGCCACAATGCCAGCCCCCAATTATTTTTATCTTGAAAAAGGAATCCCACAGTCAAATAAATACTGGGAACATTCCTTTTAGAAATTATCATACCAATTAAAGGATTTGAAGAAGTATAGTAGCTTAGAAAAGTTCTTTTTTGGGGACCAGAGCTCGGGCGTAGTAGGTTAGGCATCTGTTTGTAGCACCAGCACCCAATATGGGCAATGGTTTGAGTCCCAGCTGCTCTGCTTCCAATCCAACTCCCTGCTAATGTGCCTGGGAAAGCAGTGGAAGATGGCCCAAGTGTCAGGGCCCCTGCACCCATTTAGGAGACCTGGAAGAAGCTCCTGGCTCCTGCATTTGGATCAGCCCAGCTCTGGCAGTTGCAGCCATTTGGGGAGTCAATCAGTAGATGAAAGACCTTTCTTTCTGTCTCTCCATCTCTCTGTAACTCTGAACCTTAAATAAATAAGTAAATCTTAAAAAAAAAAGAAAAATTATGTTTTGCTTTTGTTCAACCTCAAATTTCCTAATCTTACATGAAATTTTTTCCTCTCAAAACACCTGTTAATATCAAACACAGAGAATCTAGTGGCTTTAAGACTTCCTATATGGATGAATATATTACTAGTACTGTCATTAATAGAAAGAATCAAAATGAGAAAAACACAAGTTGCAAGTAGATGGAAATGAGGACCGATCAATTTAAGACACTCAGTTTGAAAAATCAGTTTAAGGTCTAAGTAGGAATATAAACAGAAGTGATACCACAGCTTGGAGTCATTCCTATAAATATTTAATTAAATGAAAGAAACAAAAGATTTATAAGAAAAAGAATATTAAAGAATGTCTCATTTAGCAGAAAGAATGGGGAGAAAGGGACATTAATGACTGAAATGGACAATCATTAATAGGAGTATGATAATGTAGATTTGTAACAATTAGAAAAAAGTTTAAGAAGATTAAGGTACTCAAGTGAAACCAAGAGAATCAAGGAAGATAAGGACTAAGAAAACATCTCTAAATTTGGCTACTAAATTGATCCTTTGAGATTTTTTTTTTCTAAATGAAGTTCCTATTGATTGTTAAGGGCAGCATCAGACATATTAGGAGCTAGTGAGCGATGATAGTAAATGTAAATATAAATGATTGAGACGTTTAGGTGATATGATGATGAACAATACACACTTGATTCCCTCACCCAACAATTATGCATGTCCCTCACAATGATGAGGGGAAGAAAAAAACACGTGCTACCATTCCCAGACAATATTTCCTGTCCTTTTTATTCTATAAAGCTAGTTGTTAAAGTATATTGATGGGCCGGCGCTCTGACGTAGTAGGTTAATCCTCCCTCTGCGGTCCCAGCATCCCCTATGGGCACTGGTTCTAGTCCTGGCTGCTCCTCTTCTGATCCAGCTCTCTGCTATGGCCTGGGAAAGCAGTAGAAGATGGCCCAAGTCTTTTGACCCCTGCATCCATGTGGGAGTCCAGGAAGAAGCACCTGGCTCCTCACATAGGATTGGCGCAGCTCTGGCGTTGCGGCCATTTGGGGAGTGAACCAACAGAAGGAAGACCTTTCTCTCTGTCTCTCCCTCTCACTGTCTGTAACTCTACCTCTCAAATAAATAAATAAATCTTAAAAAAATATATAAAGTATATTGCATCTGTGAGTGTGATTGTTACTTTGAATCTGTGAACAACTGCTGGTGGTGGTGAAGGGAAAAAGAAAACAAAGAGAACATAGTTCACAGAGGTAGCAAAGTGAGTAAGAGAGCTCTATTATGGTTGTTTTTAAGGAGAGAGGAGGGGCCGGTGCTGTGGCTCACTTAGTTAATCCTCCGCCTGCAATGCCAGCATCCCATATGGGCGCTGGGTTCTAGTCCCGGTTGCTCCTCTTCCAGTCCAGCTCTCTGCGGTGGTCAGGAGGGCAGTGGAGGATGGCCCAAGTGCTTGGGCCCCTGCATCCACATGGGAGACCAGGAGGAAGCACCTGGCTCCTGGCTTCGGATAGGCACAGCACTGGCCATGGTGGTTATTTGGGGAGTAAACGGCCATTTGGGGGGTGAACCAACGGAAGGAAGACCTTTCTCTCTGTCTCTCTCACTCTCTAACTCTGTAAAAAAAAAAATTAAAAATTAAAAATAAAAAATAAAAAAAGGAGAGAGGAGTCCTGTGTATGTATAGGAATAATAGTCAAACAGTTGGGAATATAAGTGGAGACAAGTTGAAGAAGCAGATTCCAGGAAAAAAATAACATAAGCTGAAACCAAGAGGCTAGGTAGAGGCATTGTGCCTAAAAAGAGAAAAAAAGGAGACTAACAGTTGAGGGTAGAGAAATTTAGTCAGCGAACAGATTATGGTGACAGGTACACTGAAACTGGAGATGAAGGAATTTGACTCAGATAATGTCAATTTTCTGTGAAATGAAATAAATGAGATCCTCTTCCCCAAAGGGAATCTGGGGTAGGACTGTGTGATCAGAGAAATTTATGATCCAAAATGTTACTTAAGGAAATACATTGATTCTAAATATTTTTTTAAAAATTTATTTACTTCTGTGAGAGACAGAAAGAGAGCAAGCAAGTATGTGCTTCTATCTACCAGTTCAATCTCCAAATGCCTGCCAACAGTCCCCCACTGAGGCCAAAAGCAGGAAGCCAGGAACTCATTTCAGGTCTCCCATGTTAGGGTAGCAGCAGCCATTACTGCTTCCTGCCAGGTCCTGCATTAGCAGAGAACTAGAGTCAGGAGCTGAGCAAGGCATCAAACTCAGGCACTCCAATATGGGACATGAGCATCCTAACTGCTGTCTTTACTACTGTCTACACCAAAGGCCTGCCTCCAGTTCTATATTTTGAAATTAATTTTCTTAATAGTTTAACATATACAACAAAACCCTTGATGGAATAAACATCCACCCCTCTCCATTCTTGAAATATTTTAAAGTCCCTATGTTCCTATTACCACATTATTGATACTTATTTTTCAAAAATTAAATGTGTATGTGACTATAAATATATTTATATTTTTAACCCTGGTATCTGCCAAAATAAGCAAAACTATCATGGGGCATGTTTTCTAATTAAGTGTAAAAGACTGAATTTTCCTCCTAAATTCAGAAAGACTAATATAAATATGTAAGACACTACATAAAAATTTTCATAAAAAGGAAGCTGTTACATAACATCATACTACTCGTGACAATTACAGCCCTTAAAAAGGCATGGAACCCACTGATAAATCTTACATCACAAGCACACCATTCTTGGAACATGAGTAAAATATTCTTTAGTTGCATCTGTATAGCAATGGCAGCCTCCCAATCAGGATCTACTTCAATGTGTTGCCCAACCTGTCTTCTGATTTCTTCCATTCCCTGCAAGAAGATTAGTCAACATAAACATGCATGGCCCTCTTTCTTTATACCTCTAGTGACAAAATACAAAGCTGTCAGGATTCATATTCATATATGCATAGTATTTTAACGTGTTTGTTTCAAAAGGTCAGAACACATAGTTTAATTCCCAGTCCTCAGGGGTACAGCTTAGAAGTAGAACATATGATTGCAAATCCCAGCTGTGTGTGGAATTTCTAGCTATTTTTGTGAAATATTTCTAAGCTCCAATTCCCTTGTACATAAAAGGAGAATAATAACCATAGCAAGAGTAAGACGATAAGGCTCAAAAGAGAAAATGCATGTAATGTGCTTAGTACACAGTTATCACATGGTAAGCATTCAGTACACATTAAGAGCAGCAGTAAACTAAAACTTATAGAAAGATCTATTAGAGCAGCTGTAGGTCAGTGTTTAAATATTATTTCTACTTTGTTAGATAAATTCTTTCTCAAATAAAAACTGTAATGTCTTTAAAAAGAAGATAAAACAGATCAGGTTTTAAATTTTTTTAAAATAAATTTCTTTTACTACTGATATAAAAGAATTATCATACCTGCATACAGGTAAGAATCTTCAAAAAAGATCGAAAACCTTCAAGGAATTGCATTCTTAATCTTTCTGTCCATATTGTGGGCTTGCTGATCAGTATATACCTATGATTTCAAGAAAGAAAGAAATATTTCACTTCAGTATTCTAAGGCAATTTTAAGATTCTCAGGCTACAGACAATGTTGATTTATCAAAATTATGAATTCTAATTTCTTATGACAAATAGAATCACTGGGCAGAGCTAGATTTATTTATTCTTCTTTACTTTAAATAACCAGCAAAATGTGAATGGTCCACAAAGGACAGATTCCAAAGCTAAGCCTGACTTTTACACACATTATGCCCTCAGAGGTTAATCTGATTAAGTGAACCTAGAACCAACCTAGCCTGTAATGGCTAACCCTGGAAAATCACAGTACAGACTTCCTAGGACTGTTCATACCCATCACTCAAAGAGCCAGCTGAAATCCTTCCAGACTTAGGAGGTTTGAAATCAATTTCCTACCTCCAGGTTTTCATGAGTCAGAACCTGGAAGGAGGATGTAAGCAACTATGTCATCTTGGCTTTCACACCAGGATGCACTAGTTTCAACAGATAAACAAACTCATTTCAGCCTACAACTTTCAAGATCAATATTTCTTTTGGATGAAAAAAAAACAATGACTGGTTTCATATCTAATGTTTATCATGGAATGATTTCTCAGGAAGTATTCACTAACAATTATTAAAAATTAATTTGCACTCAATCAAAATATACTGTTACATAAAGTATTGCGAACAGAAACAAGAATAAGACACATCTTGTCTTTGAAGTTCAAAGTATAGTGGAGAAAACAGAAACCTATTATGGACACTGAAACCCAATGCCAAGAACTAAAAAGATATATGAGAAAGGCATGGACAGAGTGAGAGAGTAAAGGAATGATTTGGTTTATAAGACACTTATACTTTTCACAAATGGGACACAAAAACAGGTTAATTAAAAAGATAGTACTGTTCCTTTAAAAAAGATTTATTTATTTATTTATTTGAAATGCAGAATTAGAGAAAGGGACAGAAAGAGATATTTCATTTGCTGGTTTACTTCCTCGATAGCCACAACCACTGAGGCTGGGCCAGGAGGAAGCCAGGAGCTTCCTCTGGGTCTCCTATGTAGGTGTAGGGGCCAAAGTGCTTAGGCCATCTTCTGCTGTTTTCCCAGGCACATTAGCAGGGAGCAGGATCAGACGTGGAGCAGCTGGGACATGAACTGGTGCTCATATGGCATGCTAGCATTGCAGGCAGCAGGTTAACCTGCTACACCATAATGCCAGGCCCAATATTATTTCTTAATAGAACTAATATTCAAATGCATCTCTAAGTTTCATTTCCACAGTGAATTAGCAACTAAGAAACAAAGTACCCCATCAGGTACATTCCTCAGAGTAGACGACAAGACTGAATTATTAGACATAAAATGAGGTAGGTAATAATCCCTCCCTTCTGTGCTCTTTGAGATACACCCCAGTTGGAGCACTATGTTCATTTCTTGGCACATAAATGCTATATATTCAATTGGAATAGATTAAGTAGATAACAATGATTTAGAAGAAATGTTAAATAATATGAATGGGAACAGTTAAAGAAATGGGTTTAGGGCAGGCACTATAGCATAGCATGTTAAGTTGCTAGTTGGTACACCTGCATCCCATATCGGAGGACCATTAGACTCTGGCTCCTCTGCATCTGATTGAGATTCCTGCTAATGTACCCTGAGAGGCAGCAGGTGATGGGCCAAATAGTTGGGCCCTCAACCCCCACATGGAAGACCTGGATTGAGTTCTGGGCTCCTGGTTTCACCCTGCCTCAGCCCTGTCTGTTGCAAACACCTGGGAAATGAACCAGTGGATGGAAGTCTCTCTTCCATCACTGTGCCTTTCAATTATTTGAAAACAAATAAACACCTAAAAAAAAGAAAAGACTAAAGAAATGGACACTGCTTAAGATAGAAAGACTTGGCTGCTATGACTGCCATCTTTTTAAAAACATTTTTATCTATTCAACGGAGAGGCAGAGAGAGTGACAGACAACTCTCACCCATCGTTTCACTCCTCAAATGTCTACGACAGTTACAGCTGGGAAACCCAAATCAGGCGCTGAGAACTCAACACAGGTCTCCCTCAGGTATAGCAGGAATCTAATTACTTGAGCCATCACTGCTGCTTCCCTAGGTCTGGATTAACAGGAAGCTAGTTATAGGCTTCTATCTAAACCAAGGCATTCTGATAAGAGACTTGCACCGTAACCTATGTCTTTCTTGAGTATTTATTAATTGATTGGTTGTAGGGGAGAAAACCAGCTCCCATTAGCAATTCACTCCCCAAATGTCTGCTACCAAAGCTAGCAGCTGGGAACTCAATCCAGCTGTCTTATGTGGGTGTAGAAATCTAATTACTTGAGCCATCACCACTGTCTCCCAGGGTCTGCACTACCAGAAAGCTGGAATCAGGAGCTGGAGCCAGGAGTTGAATCCAGGTACTTTGGTATGGGACACATCCTGAATAGGGTCTTAATTGTTAGGCCAAATCCCCACATCTATCTGCTGTCTTTAAATATTTCATTAAGTTAAATATGGGCACTGATTCAAATCCCAGATGCCCTACTTCTGATCCAGCTCCCTTTTTGGGCTGGGAAAGCAGAAGATGGCCCAACTACTTGAGCCCCTGCACCCGCATGGGAAACCTCAAGAAGCTCCTGGTTTTAGATTGGCCCAGCTACAGCCATTGCGACCATATGGGGAGTGAACCAGTGCATGGAAGACCTCTTTCTCTCTCTCTCTGCCTCTCTGTAACTCTGCCTTTCAAATATATATATATATATATAAAAATGCAGGTATCTAGCCAAGCAGTTAAGACGCCTGTGACCCAAATTGGAGTACCTGGGTTAGACACTCAGCTCCAGCTTCCGGCTCTAGCTTCCCATGGTGGGCAGTGGTGATGGCTCAAGTGATTGGGTTCCTGACACAGATTTCAGTTAATGGCACTGGGCTTTGATTTGGCAGGTCATTACACAAGCATTTGGAGATTCAAATGGACGGTGAATGAGTAGGTGGGAGCTAGTTCTATCTCACGTAAAATTAAAAAGTTTTTTAATTCATGGAAAAATGGAATTAAAAGATGTTTATTTTGGTGCAAAAATGTGAAATTCACGTTTTTTTTTTCATAATACACATTTCCAGGGATTTTAAGATCTTCTCATTACCTTCTTTATTAAACTGGTTTTATAACTCAGTAAGAAGCCTTCATTGAACACATTTGCAGTATTCCTTAGTATTTGCGAAGATTAGTTTCAGGATTCCCACAGATACCAAAATCTGTAGATATTTAAGCTGTATATATAAAATGGTGTAGTATTTGTATATAACCTATGCTCATCCTACTGAATATTTTATTTATTTGGAAGGCATAGGGAGAGAGAGAGAATGACAGAAATAGAGACATACAGAAAGTGAGATATTCCCCCCAAATGCCTGCAACAACCAGGATTGGGCCAGATTGAAGCCAGGATCCTGGAACTCAATCTGTCTTCTATGTGGGTGGCAAGTACACAAGTACTTAAGCCATGACCTGAAGCCTCCCAGGCTGTGTGACAGGGGGAAGCTGGAATTGGAAGCTGACTTGAGACCTAAAACCAGCACTCTGATATGGGATGCAGGCATCCCAAGTGTCTTAACTACTGTGCCAAATGCCCACTCCACCCCATATACTTTAAGTCATCTCTAGATTACTTATTATACCTAATACATTGTAAATCATATGTAAATAGTTGTTATATTGTACTGTTTCAGGAAAAGGAACAGAAAGAAAAAGTCAGTACAGATGCAAAATTGGTATTTTCCTGTGTATTTCTGATCTGAGGTGGGCTGAACCCATAGATGCAGCACATGGATTGAAAGACCCAACTACATTAACAAGAAACAGGCACAGTTCTTTGTACTTGAATCCCAGATAACCAAAATGATCAGTAATTGACTTATATAAAAGCAAATAAGCACATTGTGTTTAACAAGTGCCCTCACCTTATGACTCCAACAACTTACTTTAGGTCACATATTACTGCATATACTCTTCCCAGTTTGTCCTGGCTATAACCCTGGAAGTTGAATTTATTGTTCCTGTCCAGGTACTCAGGTAAAACTTCTAAAAGTGTTTCAGTAATGATAGAGATAACATTCTGATCTTCAATAAGATGTCGAGCCTGCAGAATATTTCAAGAACATTGTCTTTAGTATTAACACATCATACTATGGACTTTATTTATTCATTTGGCTGGTCAGCAGGTCACTTTTAATATTTAGTGGGCATTAAACACAGTACTCAGTCTCACACAAATCAACACTAAGCAGTCATTTTCTAAAGGGAAAAATTCTCTCCTCCTCAGTAACTGGAAAACACTTGTCTGGATGTCCCATGCTTATTATACAGGTTATCTAGATAAATATTTATCATTGCAATCACAAAATGTACAAGAAGAAAGATTTACTCTATGATTTCTATCATATTTCTGTGTATTCTGGCATCTCCTTCTCTCATCTTCAATGCAATTTCCCTTGCTCATCATTTCTCTCACCTTTGGAAAGGGAAGTACAAGTGGTTCATAAACTGTGCAGAATAAACAGGGAAAAGTAGTAGTAAACACAGGAAGGTAAATCCTCCACACTCCTCTCAGGCCTGTGCAGCACCATCTCACACAAATGTATGACAGGCACAAATGCCCCTTCTTAATTTTATCTTATGCTATTGATCCCTCAAACAATAACTAAAGAACAAAAGAAGTTTTGTTTTGTTTTAAGTTTTGGTGCTGAAAAAGCAGTGCTAGAAAGTGAGAAAAGTAGATGTCATCTGTAAGGATAAGGACATTAGGACAAAGGCAACACCATAGGTACCAAAGTATCTTTCACATGCAGATAGCATTTAAGTATTAATCAATTTTTCAAATGGCATTAGCTCAAATTAAAACAAGTTTTACTTAGACTGTGAAGAAATATTTGACACATACCAGAGTAGGAACAGTAAACATCTGAACTGAAAGTGCAGTCACAGAGATACTTCTGTCATGATCATCACTGATATATTCTTTCTGCAGCTGTTTATAATACTGAAAGATACAGAGAGAAACCACAAATTACCTAAAGCTTTTAAAATCTAATTTTAATAACTGTTTCAGTTTTATTTTTATATATCCATAAAATGACAAATAGTAATAAAATTCCTATTAAAGAATTCTCAACAAAAACATCCTAGAAAGAGAGTACCAAACAAGACCAAATAATAAATTCAGCTGCCCAATCCAGCAGAGTTAGAAGAACTGTAAAAAGCAACAACTTAAACTAAAAACACCAGTAAAAATCACAGGGGCACTGGAGCGCAGTTTATCTTTGCTACTAACAGAATCTGGGGCAAATAGCAAATTCTACTTTGATGGTTAAAGAAAGGGAGATAAGCAAAGGCTTTAACAACTGGTATAACTCAGAAAACCAGCCAATCAGATTCAATCCAGCTTGAAAGAGAACAGATGCCAGATACAAATAATTTGTTATCCACACCAGAACATGTCAACTTAAAAGCAACCCTAATATATTAACAGAAAAACACACACACACACACACACACACATTAAATTCAGTCATGTTTCAAGCATCTATTATGTGTAAGCAGAATTGGATACTCGATATATCTATATATTAAATTTTACTGTGCATAATTCCCACAGAGTCTAAGAGGTAACCATGGTATACAAAATCAATAAATAAAATCTAAGGGCCTTTGTATGAGAAAACAAAACTCTGTATCAGATCATACATATGGCCCAATATTCTATTTCTGAAGAGTTTGAGTAGAGTTGACATTTTGAATTCCCATCACCTCAGAAGGGTAAGACATACATCTCAAACGTTACTTATAATGTCCATGTAACACATAAAATACCTGCATTTTCTGTACAAATCTTTTTTAAAAAAAGAAAATCTTTACATAAAACAAAATAATGGATCTTTTTAAAGATTTATTTATTTACTTGAAAGAGTTACAGAGAGAAAGGGAGAGATATAGAGAGAGATCTTCCATCCACTGGTTCACTCCCCAGATGCCCCAACAGCCAGTGCTGGACCAGGCTGAAACCAAGAGTTTCATTAGGGTCTCCCTCATGGGTGGCAAGGGCCCAAACATTTGGGCCATCTTTGCCGCTTTTCCCAGGCCATTAGCAGAAAACTAGATCAGAAGTAGATCCGCTGGGACAAGACCTGGTGCTCATTTAGGATGCCTGCTGTGTGCCGTAACACCAGTCCCCAAGAAAACAGATTTTTGACAAAGAAATGAATCAAAAAATCCATGAATACTTTTGATTCATAATTATCCCTTTGTCTCATTATTCCATAACTTCTTTGTACTTCTAGTTATTATCTATTATTTATAAAGAGCAATTACCTTCACGAATTCCATAGCGAAGAGTTTTTTGTATTCCATCTCCATAAAAAAACTGCTAAAAATCAATTCGTGAAGGATCTTACGGGCACCTACAGATCATTTTTAAATTAGGGCAACATCAAAGAAAAAAATCCAGCTATTAGACATGACAGATTATGAAAATATTTTACATGCTAATGAATCACAAGAACTCAAATATGAACAGCACTTATTGCATTAACATTTAATAGGAAGGATTTAAAAATCCACCCATATACATGCTTTTTTCCTCTTTTTCTGCCTCCCTCCTACTACTTAATCTTCTTTAATTTTACCTTCCCACAACTTTTTTATTAATTTTTATTCTATTCCACTCAAAACTACTGACACTATACTTTTCCTTCCACATATTCTTTAAATTTCTCCTTTTAATTATTATTCATTTAGATTTTTAAAATGAAAATTAATGTAGCTTTAATAATGGCAACACCACATGAATATACATACATACTCTTTTAAACTGGACCCGACTAAATAAAAGAGTAATATAATTAAAAGGTGTAATTTAATTTTTTAAAGGTAGATTATTTAACTTTACCTTCATGTATAGTACTTTATCAATCTAGATCACAGATTTAGTAACTGGTTAATAAACAAGAGGGTATGGTCTACTAGGAGGTTATAATCTTTTGATTCCTAGAAAGCAGCATAGGGAAAGGTCTACTTACCTTTATAAAGCTTTGCATCCCAAAGCATTAACCTGCTTATGAGACAGGGATTCTCAGAGCCAGATTCTTCTCTAAGGCATGCTTGGCAAAAGATCTGCCTAAAATCACCTACAAACAAAAAAGTAAGAATTTTGGTTCTTAGTATATTTCTTCTAAAAGTACCTTTCCTATAGTAGCATGATAAAAGACCAACAATAATTCTCCCATGCTTAATGTCAAGAATAATTCTACCAATCTTAAAGAGCCAAGAAAATGATTTGATAATATGTATTTGAAAATCTAATCCTGAAAATTAATCAAAATGTATAAATCAAAACAGAAAATTTTATGCTCAATGACATTTTAAAAAATTGACTACAAAATACATAGTATTTGATAAGAAATACTAAAAGTAGACTATATGCTTACTTGAATAGCTCATAATTTTGTTCATCCAGGAGCCAAGACGCAAAGCAAATTTCTGATGAGCCATAACCTCAGAGTGTAACACTTCTACATGGAGTGGATGTTGAGAGACATTTTCTGAATGACTCTACAAATAAAAGGAATGTTAAAAACCAAATTAACATTTAGCTAAGTGGTCTATTTAAAAAAAAAAATAAAGGAATGATAAAACTCCAACTCCCCAAATGTAAGTGTCCCAATCCTATCTTTAGGATGTCAGACTAATTCAAGATGATCACTCTAATTTTTCTACTTGAATCCTCATAATGTGAATAATTCTTTGGGGCCAGCCTTGTGGTATAGCAAGTTAACTCACTGACTGCAATGCTGGCATCCCAAATGAGCACCAGTTTGGGTCCTGGCTGCTCTGCTTCTAATCCACGTACCCACTAATGTGTCTGAGAGTACAATGGAAGATGGTCTAAGTACTTGGGCTCCTACCACCCATACAGGAGACCCAGGTGGAGTTCCCAGCTTTTGGCTTTGGCCTGGCCCAGCCCCAGTTGCTACACTCACCTGGGGAGTAAACCAGAACATAGGAGATATTTTTCATTCTCTCCCTGGAACTCTTCCTTTTAAATAAATCTTTAAAAAAAAAAAAAAAAAATCTCGGGGCTACAGTGCAGTGTCAACATCCTATAAGGACTTCAGTTTGAGTTCCAAGTGCTTGGCTTCCAATCCAGCTCCCTGCTGATAAGCTTGGGAAAGAAGTAGAGGATGGTCCAAGCTCTTGGGTCCCTGTACTCATGTTGGAGGCTGAGATTAAGATCCTAGTTCCTGGCTTCAGACCAGCCCAGCTCTGGCCATTGAGGCCATCTGGGGAGTGAACCAGTGGAGAGAGGATCTCTCTGTCTCTCCTCTAACTCTGACTTCAAATAAATAAATACATCTTTTAAAAAAAATTGCTTTGTCCTAATTCATGAAGTTACCTTGATGTCTTCCTTAGCTTCCTGACAAGCAGCATAAGCACCTGCTTTAACAGCCCGACGACCCTGAGGTTAGGTAAAAATGAGAATTAAGTAGTGGAATGACAACTACAATCAGCATGTAATTCATATCCCAAAGACCTAATTTGAGCTCTCAATCATAAATCACCAGTTGGCTGACTAAAAGCTGTAAGACTCTAGGATAATACCAAGCAGACAGACATAAATGCTTAATATCTATATGTAGCATTAGAACATTCAGTACCTCTAGGAAAGAAGTGCTGTTAGCTTAGGATGCTGAGTTTCTTGTCTAGCAAGAATGCCAGTTCTTTACTAAAGGTGGTATACCCTATTTATAACAGATACTAACTTAGGTATGTTCGCTGAACTCCTGCTATGTTTTAGTACATTCGTGAATGAATTTAGAATTCCACAACATACTTGTGATTCACTTATGTGTCGGGGTATTATCAGGCTACTGATTCTTTAAGCCCTGAGGCACCCAGGTAAGGTCTCTATAGAATCTCCTGGAAGCGCATCCTTTTACCCCTCTGTAAAAATTGATGAGGAAGGACTCCCCATTTCACAGATAAAAAAACTAAGAGGAAGAAGTTAAGTAACTTGTTTCCATATCAGAAAGTTGATAAATGGTAGATCCAGGGATCCATGACAAGTAGTCCATCTTCATAGCCTTATACCTTAATCATTCTATACTATTTCTTCTTTAACTCTTTAGTGTAAGAACTACTCAAATAAATTTGAACTGTTAATTATACCAGTAAGGCTCCCATTAGAGAGAAAAAAATGCAGAAAAGCCAAGACTGTAAGAGATTTTAAGAACATGTAAGTTGGGGCTGGCGCCGTGGCGCATTAGGTTAATCCTCCGCTGTGGCGCCAGCATCCCATATGGGTGCCAGTTCTTATCCCGGTTGCTCCTCTTCCAGTCCAGCTCTCTGCTGTGGCCTGGGATAGCAGTGAAGGACGGCCCAAGTGCTTGGGTCCCTGCACCCTCATGGGAGACCAGGAAGAAACTCCTGGCTTCTGGCTTTGGATCAGCGCAGCTCCAGCCGTTGCAGCCATTTGGAGAGTGAACCAACAGAAGGAAGACCTTCTTTTCTTTATTTTTATTATTATTATTATTATTTTTTTGACAGGCAGAGTTAGACAGTGAGAGAGAGAGAGAGAGAGAGAGAGAAAGGTCTTCCTTCCGTTAGTTCACCCCCCAAATGGCCACCATGGCCGGCGCGCGCTGTGCCGATTAGAAGCCAGGAGCCAGGTGCTTCTCCTGGTCTCCCATGCAGGTGTAGGGCTCAAGGACTTGGGCCATCCTCCACTGCCTTTCCAGGCCACAGCAGAGAACTGGACTGGAAGAGGAGCAACCGGGACAGAATCCAGTGCCCCAACCAGGACTAGAACCCGGGGTACCGGCACCGCAGGTGGAGGATTAGCCTAGTGAGCCACAGCACTGGCCAGAAGACCTTTCTTTCTGTCTCTCTCTCTCACTGTCTATAAACTCTACTTGTCAAATAAATAAATAATCTAAAAACTAAAAAAAAAAAAAAAAAAAAAAAAAAAAAGAACATATAAGACACCTTAATAAGCTTATATGCAGGGATACTAGTAATCAACCTAAAGCAGTGGATCTCAATGTAAATGAGAAGAGGGGATGTACCTCACATCTACTAGGATGATTATTACAGGAAGAAAAAAGTGTCGGCAAGGATATGGAGAAACCAGATCCTGTGCACTGTCGGAGGAAATGAAAAATGGTGCACAGCTGCTATGGAAAATAGTTTGCCAGTTCCTCAAAAATTAAACGTAGCATTTCTATATGACTCAGTAATTCTATTTCTGGATATACAGCCAAAAAAATTGAAAGGACTGATACAGGTATTTGCACATTCACATTCATAGCAATTCAATAGTCAAAAGGTAGAAGAGTAACCCATGTGTCTCAACAGATGAATGGATGAACAAAATGTGTTTATATACTAATGGTATTATTTAGCCTTAAAAAAGATGGAAATCCTGTCATATGCTACAGCATGTATGAACTTTGAAGAGTTTATGTTAAATTAGTTTATGCTAAATTTGCCAGCTGCAAAAAGACAAACACTGCAGAATTCCATTTATATGAGACATCTAAAAGAGTCTTACAAGGCCGGCGCCATGGCTCACTAGGCTAATCCTCCGCCTTGCAGCGCCGGCACACTGGGTTCTAGTCCCGGTCGGGGCGCCGGATTCTGTCCCGGTTGCCCCTCTTCCAGGCCAGCTCTCTGCTGTGGCCAGGGAGTGCAGTGGAGGATGGCCCAAGTGCTTGGGCCCTGCACCCCATGGGAGACCAGGAGAAGTACCTGGCTCCTGCCAACAGATCAGTGCGGTGCGCCGGCTGCAGCGCGCTGGCCACAGCGGCCATTGGAGGGTAAACCAACAGCAAAGGAAGACCTTTCTCTCTGTCTCTCTCTCTCACTGTCCACTCTGCCTGTCAAACAAAACAAAACAAAAAAAAAAAAAAAAAAAAAGAGTCTTAGTCTTACAAGGTAAAATGGTGGCTGCCAGGAATTAAAGGGAGGAGTAAAGAGGAAGTTGTTCAATTGAAATAGTTTCTGTTTCACAAGATGAAAAAGTTTTAGAAATCTATTCCATAACAATGTGTGTACAGTTAACATTACTGCACTGTTCACATGAAAGAAGAGTTAGGATGGTAAAATTTACCTTATATGGATTTTTATCATCATTAAAAATTTTCTTAAATGAACAAATAGGAGGTGGGGGAGGGGGAAATAAGAATAAATCAATTGGAAGGAGGCAGCTTTTTCAAAATACATAGGACTTTCTTTCCTTTCCTCTCCCCATTATTAACAATTCTAGTCTATTTTTTTTTTTTTTTTTTTGACAGGCAGAGTGGACAGTGAGAGAGAGAGAGACAGAGAGAAAGGTTTTCCTTTGCTGTTGGTTCACCCTCCAATGGCCACCGCAGCCGGTGCACTGCGACCGGCGCACCGCGCTGATCCAAAGGCAGGAGCCAGGTGCTTCTCCTGGTCTCCCATGGGGTGCAGGGCCCAAGCACTTGGGCCATCCTCCACTGCACTCCCTGGCCACAGCAGAGAGCTGGCCTGGAAGAGGGGCAACCGGGACAGAATCCGGCGCCCCGACCGGGACTAGAACCCAGTGTGCCGGCGCTGCAAGGAGGAGGATTAGCCTAGTGAGCCACGGCGCTGGCAACAATTCTAGTCTATTAAGCATGTCTACATTTAAAAAAAATTCTCTCCAAATGATTTTAATGGATTCTCTTTATTCTCATACAATAGCTGAAAACACAGAACTATAAGTATGGGTTTGTAAAACAGACTAATTGCAACATCAATTCATCTAGTCAATAAATATATTTTCTACCTTGATGTGGTAAACAACTTTATCTCACATCCTATTTTTCCTTTTGAATGAGCAGATGATTTACTGAAAAGCTTTTCTTGTGGTTCCAAAACCAAATCGGTCTACCAGTAGGTAGGATAGCTATAGCCACAGTCTTCTCCATGCTGACCATAAAGCAGAGTAGAAGGGAAGAAAGTTGAGTAACTACCCTGCGCTTTGCTGTAATATACAATAGGGAGAATGCTAGAATGTGTCTCAAGGGTTGGTTGGGATAGTTACATGTGCTTAATACCAAAAGAACTCTTTAGTATTACTCAAGGCCACTGTTATATTATCATTGTTACTTACTCAATAAAATCTCACAGAAGCCCCAAATAAACTTTTTAACTACTCTTTGTTAGTTACTATATTACTTATGTTTATTTAATACTCCATTAACTAAATCTATCAAAAGCACAGGTTAGTAAATCTCAACATTTTTGAGAACAGAGGGCTCCTTTTTCCAACCAGTCTCAAGGATTTAAATAATAGAATAACTTTTAATTAGAATAACTATTAACTGCAAAAAATTAACTCATTAAGTTTTCTTAAAATAGAATCACTATTTTGATCAGTCCTTGTCCTGACTGTTGATGAACAACTTAATACTTTATCCCTTTTAGTATTTTTTTTTGTTCTACTTAATACTATTGGTTGACCTATGTAATTAACACACAATTATTCTTAAGTGTTTAAATTTAACTGAAAAGTGATCTCTGTTAAATATCAGAGTGGGAATAAGAGAAGGAGGAGATGTACAATCTGGGACATGCTCAACTGGACTTGCCCCAAATGGCAGAGTTAGAAACGTGCCAGGGGATTCCAATTCAATCCCATCAAGGTGGCATGTACCAATACCATCTCACTAGTCCAAGTGATCAGTTTCAGTTCACAATTGACCATGATAGGTCTAAGAGTCAAAGGGATCACATAAACAAGACTAGTGTCTGCTAATACTAACTAATAGAATAAAAAAGGGAGAGAACGATCCAATGGGAAGCGGGATACACAGCAGACTCCTAAACAGCACTTTGGCCTCAGAATCAGCCCTTAAGGCACTCGGATCTGGCTGAAGAGCCCATGAGAGTATTTTAGGCATGGAAAACCAAGACACTCTGGCAGAAGAAAAAAAAAAAAAAAAAAAAACTAAATTAAATGAAAGATCTCTGTGAGTGAGATCCCAGTGGAAAGAATGGGCCATCAAAGAAGGAGGTACCTTTCTCTGAAGAGAGGAGAGAACTTCACCTTTAACTATGACCTTGTCTAAAAAAGATCGGAGCCAGCAAACTCAAAAGGCTTCCATAGCCTTGGCAACTCATGACAAGAGCCTAGGGTGATTACTGACGCCATAAACAAGAGTGTCAATTTGTTAAGTCAACAACAGGAGTCACTGTGCACTTACTTCTCATGTAGGATCTCTCTCCTTAATGTGTTGTACAATGTGAATTAATGCTATAACTAGTACTCAAACAGTATTTTACACTTTGTGTTTCTGTGTGAGTGCAAACTGTTGAAATCTTTACTTAATATATACTAAATTGATCTTCTGTATATAAAGATAATTGAAAATGAATCTTGATGTGAATGGAATGGGAGAGGGAGCGGGAGATGGGAGGGTTGCGGGTGGGAGGGAAGTTATGGGGGCCAAAAAGCCATTGTAATCCATAAGCTGTACTTTGGAAATTTATATTTATTAAATAAAAATTTTAAAAAATAGAATCACTGTTTTTGTAAAAATCTGTGTTTTTTAAATTCAATCCTTAAAAAAATATAAGAATTCAAAAAATTATTCTAAATACAATTCCTAAAACAAACATCACCAACATATTACCATAAATCCAGGCATTTCCAAGTAGTCAGAGGGACAGTTAAATAATTATAGGAAAATTATTTACACATGGAAGAATATTACAGGAAATGAGGTTAGAGAACAAAAGACACTATGCTATAGAAAACTGATGAACTCTTTTCCAGAACATTTATTCCATTTTGTTTGTAGGTCACAGCAGTAAAGAAGGAACTGAGATAAACCCAGTGGTAAAGATGGACCACACTGGGGCCAGCGTTGTGATGTAGCAGGTTAAGCCACCTCCTGCAGTGTCCTCTCTCTGTGTCTCTCCCTCTCTAACTCTGCCTCTTAAATAAATAAATAAATAATTATTTAAAAAAAAAAAAAAAAGGAAGGACTTTTACAAACTGGTATTTATCCAAGGAGAGGAGATGGAGGCAAAAAAAAAAAAATAGATTTTGACTAGTATGAGCTTATTATCACAAGACAAATAGTAGAGAGAATTGAAGAAAGTAGACATGAAATAAAAAAGAAAATACAGGTTTCTTAAACTATTTGATGGGTTGCAAAAGATAGTACTTCCTGGTTTATCCTAAAAGAAATGAGTCAGAAAATACATGGAGATAGATTTTGGTTCAACATAGGAAAAATAATTCTCCTAAGAAGGAGAGTTAGGAGAGTTGCCAAACAAGCAGTCATATAGAGAACCAAACTGTAAATACTAAAGCAAAAGTTAGACGACCACTGGGAGCAGATACTGTGCTCTCAGTACAAGAATGGCCCTTTTCAGTGCTTTTTAACTTTTCCCAATCTTACATTATATAGTTACCTTATCAGCAAATCAGGTCCTGATTTTTTCCTTTAAGGTTATTTAAAGGCTACCTGTTAATGCCTTTGAGATTAAGCTACCTTAATGCTTTTTGATTAAGGTATAAATACATTTAGTAACTTTTGGGAAAATCTAACAACCAAAGTAGACTTTACTTCATACAACGAGTAGTTGAAAATCAGCAGCCTGACTTACCTTCAAAGCGCCTTCTATGATCTATACCCACAGTGCAATAGTAACATAGGCACTAACACCTGGGCTAATCTAGTATTACTGCCAAGGACTAAAAAATGTTTGCTGATCATTCTGCTTCACTTTCTTTTCCTTCTATTCTTCCTTCTGTCTTCTTTTCCTATTTCTATTCTCTTTTTCAAAATTCTAGCTAATTTACCTAGGATACAGAGAGTAACTGGAGAGTATGGTTGTACCTAACACAATACTCAGTCACTTGACAAGCAATTGGGTCAACACTTGATTGTCAGGAAGCTGATACTAAGACAGCAGCATAATCCAAATAGAGACCACAAACCTCTTTGTCTATGGCAGTGGTGTGCAACTGGGCCTCTGCAAGCTCACAGTCAAGAGCTCTTTGTAGGCTGTATATGACGTGGTCATATGAATGGTGCTCATCGTTGAAAAGAACACAATAGTATCTTTCATTCTTCTCTCTGTTAAAAAAATATATATTCAGACTCCACAAATGGAATAAAAGTAAAAAATAGACAAAAATAATATACAACATCTATACTGAAGCAACACCATGTAATTTCTTACATGTAGGAAAGCAACACTAAAATACTGACACAGGAAATTATTTCAAGTAGCACAGTGCCATAGAATTTTTAAAAGCCCTAAAATAGGGGTTGGCGCTGTGGTGTAGTAGGTTAAGCCTTTGCCTGTGGTGTCAGTATCCCATATGGGCTCTGGTTCTAGTCCTGGCAGCTCCACCTCTAATCCAGCTCCCTGCTAATGGCCTGGGAAAGCAGTCGAAGATGACCCAAGTCCTTGGGGCCCTGCACCTGAGTAGGAGACCCAGAAGAAGCTCCTGGCTCCTGGCTTCAGATTGGCCCAGCTCTGCCTTTCTCTGCCTTTCTAAGAAATAAATCTTAAAAAAAAAAAAAAAAAAGAGTACCAGCATTCCCATTTTGGCTATAGAATCTCAGACAGGTAACTTAACGGCTTTTGGTTGTTTAAAATGACTTTGATGTAGGCTGGCGCCGTCGCTCACTAGGCTAATCCTCCATCTGCGGCGCCGGCACCCTGGGTTCTAGTCTCAGTTGGGGAGCAGGATTCTATCCCGGCTGCTCCTCTTCCAGTCCAGCTCTATGCTGTGGCCCAGGAAGGCAGTGGAGGACGGCCCAGGTGCTTGGGCCCTGCACCCACATGGGAGACCAGGAGGAAGCACCTGGCTCCTGGCTTCGGATTGGCGCAACACGCTGGCCTTGGCAGCCACTTGGGGGGTAAACCAACGGAAAAAGGAAGACCTTTCTCTCTGTCTCTCTCTCTCTCACTGTCTAACTCTGCCTGTCAAATAAATAAATAAATAAATAACTTTGATGTATTTATTAGAGAGAGAGCAAGCTCCCACCTACTGATTCACTCAACAAATGCTCACAATGGGTGAGGCTGGGTTAGATGAAAGTCAGAAGCCTAGAGGCAGGGGCCAGTAGCCAGGCCTTGAATTCAGGTCTCGCACGTGGGTGGCAGGAATCCAACTACTTTAAGTCATCACTGCTACTTCCCAGGGTCTGCATTAGCAGGAAGCTGGAGCTGGGTATCAAACTCATGTTCTCCAATATGGGACCTGGGTATCCTAGCCTACATCTTAATTGTTAGGTAAATGCCAGCCCATTATCAGTTTTAAACATTTATAATATGTTTTCTACAAGATACTCAATTGATCCTCACAAATCTGAGTCAGATTTTCTCAGTTCTCTTTATAGTTCTAGAAAACATAGGCTCAAAAGGGTTCAAAGACTTATGGTCACAATGTTAACAAGCAGTAGATGGGACTATAACTCAGAACTGTAAATCCAAAGATCAATGACACTCAAGCAATGCTCCTTTTTTTTGGCAGGTGGTGGCTCTTATTAAGCTAACCACCACAATGTTCCTTAAAAAGTCTAATTTGAAATTAAAATATTTGTGAACACAATTTCTTATGACCTTTATTTCCCCTAAGCAGTCTGTGGTCCAAAAAGAGTCCAAACAACACATTTATGTCTCTATAAGTTAAAATTCTTATTAAAAAATATCTACTTACTTATTTGAAAGGCAGAGCAAGAACAACAGAAAATGAGAGAGAGAGAATGAGACAGAGAATCTTCCATCCACTGGTTCACTCCCCAAATGGCCACAACAGCCAAGGCTGGGCTAGTCTGAAGCCGTAGCCAAGAACTTCCTGCTGGTCTCCCACATGGGTGATAGAGACCCAACTAACTGGGCCAATTTCTGCTGCCTTCCCAGGTACATTAGCACTAGCAGGAAGCTGGACCAGAAACAGCGCAGTTGGGATGTGAAACGTCCCTCCAATATGGAATGCCAGCATCACAAGTGGCAGCTAAACTTTCTGTGCCGCAATGCCAGCCAAAATTAAAATTCTTAATTCTCTCTCCTTCCAAAAAGCAAAACAATTAAAAAAAAAAAAAAAACCTGGCTGCAGTTGGGTATATGCTATCATCTTGTAAAATTCCTACTATGATACAGGTAGAAAAATTCTTCCAGGATCTAATTGTATCTTTATACCAGGTCCAGAATTGGTTTTTGCATTTTTAAAGTTAAGAGTAATTCTTAGCAACATTGAAAGATGTATGACTTTCAGATATTGCTGGATTTTCAAGAAGTTATTTATTTTCATTTTATTTGAAAGGAAGAGGTAATGAAACAAGAGAGAGAGAGATCTTTCATATACTGATTCACTCCTCAAATGCTCATGACAGCCAGGGCTGGGCCAGGCCTAAGCCAGGGGACAGAAACTCCACCTGGGTCTCATACATAGCAGGTTGCAGGCACCCAAGTACCTAAGCCATCTTCCGCTGCCTCCAAGCATGAGCATTAGCAAGCAGATAGAATCAAAAGGAGAGCTGGAACTTGTATCCAGGCACTGTGATATGGAATATGGGCATACAAACTGTTGTATCAAATACCTGTCCTCAAACTTCTTGAATAGGAAAAGGGCTAAAGACATGGGCTGAAAGGAAACACTGTTGCAAAGACCCTGTGTGTCCCCAAACCCTTGGGAAACCTGGAGTTTGGCACAAACCAGTATCAAACTGAGCCACTTATTTGCCTAATCAGATGAGTGGCTGCTAAAATTATGTAACATTTAGAAAAAGAACACTAAATGTTGATATCAATAAAATCAAAAGCTCCTGATGGGCTCTTCTTTTGTCTTAATTTCTATACCCAAAGTATCTAGCAAACCACCTCATATAAATGAAATTTTAAAAATATTCCCAAGAGGGACTGGCACTGTAGTAAAGCAGGGTAAGCCATCGCCTGCAACACCAGCAACTCATACAGACACAGGTTTGAGTCTGGCTGTTCCACGTCCAATCCAACTCCCCGCTAATGGCCTGAGGAAAGCAGCAGAAGATGGCCCAAGTATTTGCGCCCCTGCACCCATGTGGGAGATCTGGATGAAGTTCCTGGCTCCCAGCTTCAGCCTGGCCTACCCCTGGCCATTGCAGCCATATGGAGTTAATCAGTGGATGGAAGACCTCTCTAACTCTGCCTTTGAAATAAATAAATAAATCTTCAAAAATAAATAGATATTCCCAAGAGACAATTCTCCATAAATTTTTCAGAATAATAAACTACATAGTAAATCATAACAAAAATAGCTATCCAACACTTATTTTGCAATATCAATAACCATCACTAAGCCACATCTGCTTTGACAATATCCCCACCTTATCTGGAGTTCAGGAGGCAGTTCTTTTTCCTCTTCCCATATAGTCATTTCTACAATGTATTTTATAACTGAAGGGAATATTTTCCTGGCTTGGGCAATTACTTCTTCATTCAACGGACAATGTGAACTCTGTAAGAAAGTGGAGAAAAACATACTATACTAACCAAGACTGTATACAAATAGATGAGGAAGATAATGTTATCAATTTGAAATAATCACTTCATAAGATATTAAAATATCCTCCAAGAATTAATTCGGGTTGAGCTCAAGAGAGCTGCTATTCATATCAGTGTTGTCTACCCTGGTAGCCGAGTTTGTGCTACAGATGACAGAAGGGAAAGGAGGCGACCACAGAGTTCCCTTCAGTGATTTTCTTCCCCTTAAGAATGTTTTCCTCTGCCTCTCTGAGCAGCATAATTATAACAATGTTATATAATAACTGGTTATCCTTTATAAAAACTTTTCTGGTATTTTATTTCTCTCTCTCTCTCTCTTTTTTTTTTTTTTTTTACAGGCAGAGTTAGACAGTGAGAGAGAGAGAGACAGAGAGAAAGGTCTTCCTTCTGTTGGTTCACCCCCCAGATGGCTGCCACGGGTGGCATGCTGCGCCAATCCGAAGCCAGGAGCCAGGTGCTTCCTCCTGGTCTCCCATGAGGGTGCAGGGCCCAAGCACCTGGGCCATCCTCCACTGCCTTCCCGGGCCACAGCAGAGAGCTGGACTGGAAGAGGAGCAACCAGGACAGAATTCGGTGCCCCAACTGAGACTAGAACCCAGGGTGCCGGCACCGCAGACAGAGGATTAGCCTAGTGAGCCACTGCGCCGGCCTCTGGTACTTTATTTCAACAGATCCTCGTGGTACTCTAAAAGAAGGCAGAACAGGTACTAATGACACTTAAAAAATAAGGAACTCAGCCAATCACAAAAGGACAAAATATGATTCGTTCACACGAAATATCTAAGGTAGTCAAATTATAGAAACGTCAGCAGAAAGGTGACTGCCAAAGGCTTGGAGGAGAGGAAATAAGTGTTTAGTGGGTATATTTGCAGGGCTTCAAGAGTAAAAAGTTCTTGGGATCTGCTACACTCAATGCAAATCTACTTACACTGCTGAAATATATCCTTAAGAACAATTAAGACTGTAAATTTAATGTCTTGCATTGTTTGTTAAACAAATGATATATCTACCTTAAAAAGGAGAGATTTATTTAATTATTTTAGAGCCAGAGAGACAGAGAAGGAAAGATACAGACAGATCTCTTTCATCTGCTGGTTCAGTCCTCAAATGCCTGCAACAGCTAGGGCTGGAGCATGCCAAATTCAGGAGCCAGAAACTCCCTTCAGATCTCCCACATGGGTGGCAGGAATCCAAGTACTTAAGCATCATCTGCTGCCCTCCAAGGCACATTAGCAGGAAGCTGAATGGGAAGCAGAGGCAGTACTTGATCCCAGGCGTTCTGATATGGGATGGGGGTACTCCAAGCAGTGGCATAACCTACTGTGCCACAATATCCACAATACATACACACAAACACAATGGTTAAGAATCCATCCAAAGTCAAAGAGCAGAAGCACAACTGAAATCTGGGTCTTTTGACTTCCACAATAAACAATGTTTTCTTCATTACATAACATGAATAAAACATTTGTTCAAGCTATTCAGCTATAAAATGTATTTGACTGTTCTATCTATATCATAAGGCTTTGGGGAATGCACATCAAAATCACAGTAAGAGGGTTGGCATTTGTGGTGCAGTGAGTTAAGACACTGTTTAGCATTTCCCCATCCCATATCAGAGTGCCAGTTTGAATCCTGGCTACTCTGCTTCCAATACTGCTCTCTGCTAATGCATCCTATTAGTCAGCAGATGATGGCTCAAGGCTTAGGCCCCTGCTACTTACAGACTTATAGGTATATGGGAGACTCGAATGAGTTTTGGGCTCCTGGCCTTGGCCTGGCCCAGCCCTGGCTACTGCAGGCATTTGGGAAGTAAAGCAGTGGATGGAAGATATCTCTCTTCTCCCTTCCCCTCTCTCCCTCCCTCCTCCATTCCCTTTCCCTCTCTCTTCATTCTCTCTTTTCTCTCATCCTGACAATTGACCTTTCAAGCAGATGAAAATAAACATTAAAAAAAAAATGCTGCTTGGAACACCTACATCCCAGTTTTAAGTACCTACATTCAATTCCTAGCTCTGTTCCTGATTCCAGCTGCCTGCTAATATGCACCTTGGGAAGCAGCAGGTGATAACCTAAGTAACTGGGTCCCTGTTACCAACCCAGGAAATTGAGGTTGAGTTCTGACTTTGGCCTGTCTCAGCCCCAGCTGTTGCAGACATTTGTGGAGTGAACCACTTGATAGGAGGTTTCTCTTTACCTCTCTGCCTCCCAAATAAATAAATAATTTCTTAAAATGTTAAGCACAGGGGCAGGCATTATGGTGCAGCAGGTTAAATCCACTGGCATCCCATTTAGGCACCAGTTCAAGTCCTGGCTGCTGCACTTCTCATCCAGATCCCTAATATGCCTGGAAAAGCAGCAGAAGATGGTTCAAGTGCCTGGGCCACTGCCATCCATCTGGAAGATCCAGATAGAATTCCAGGTTCCTGGATTTGGCCTGTCCCACTACCAGTCTTTGTGGCCATTTAGGGCGTGAATCAGTGGATGGAAGATTCTCTCTTTTTTTTTTTTTTTTTTTTTGACAGGCAGAGGGGATAGTGAGAGAGAGAGAGACAGAGAGAAAGGTCTTCCTTTTTGCCGTTGGTTCACCCACAATGGCCACCACAGCTGGCGCGCTGCGGCCGGCGCACCGCGCTGATCCGAAGGCAGGAGCCAGGTGCTTCTCCTGGTCTCCCATGGGGTGCAGGGCCCAAGGACTTGGGCCATCCTCCACTGCACTTCCCGGGCCACAGCAGAGAGCTGGCCTGGAAAAGGGGCAACCGGGACAGAATCCGGCGCCCCAACCGGGACTAGAACCCAGTGTGCCGGCGCCGCTAGGTGGAGGATTAGCCTATTGAGCCGCGGCGCTGGCCTCTCTCTCTTTTTCTCCAAACTCTGCCTTTCAAATAAATAAATCTTTTTTTTTTTAAAGATTTATTTATTTACTTGAAAGAGAGTTACACAGAGAGAAGAGGCAGAGAGAGAGTTCTCCCATCTGATGGTTCACACCCCAGATGACCGCAACAGCCCGAGCTGCACTGATCTGAAGTCAGGATCCAGGAGCTTCTTCCGAGTCTCCCACGGGGGTGCAGGGGACCAAGGACTTGGGCCATCTTCTACTGCTTTCCCAGGCCATAGCAGAGAGCTGGATTGGAAGAGAAGCACCCGGGACTCAAACCGGCACCCATATGGGATGACAGCGCTTCAGGGCAGGGCATTAAACCACTGCGCCACAGCACCAGCCCCTAAATAAATCTTTCTTAATAAATATTTTTTAAAGATTTTATTTATTTTATTTGATAGGTAGAGTTACAGACAGTGAGATAGAGACAGAGAGAAAAGTCTTCCTTCCGTTGGTTCACTCCCCAAATAGCTGCAACGGCCAGAGCTATGCCGATCTGAAGCCAGGAGCCAGGTGCTCTTCCCCCTGGTCTCCCATGCAGGTGCAGGGGCCCAAGCACTTGGGCCATCTTTCACTGCCTTCCTGGGCCACAGCAGAGAGCTGGACTGGAAAAGGAGCAACCAGGACTAGAACCGGCGCCCATATGGGATCCCGGTGCCACAGGCGGTGGATTAACCCAGTGCACCACAGCACCGGCCTAATAAATATTTTAAGGGGCCGACACTGTGGCGTGGTGGGTTAACGCCCTGGCATGACGCACCAGCATCCCATATGGGGGCCAGTTCGAGACCCAGCTGCTTCTCTTCCAATCCAGCTCTCTGCTATGGCCTGGGAAAGCAGTAGGTGGCCCAAGTCCTTGGACCCCTGAACCCCCGTGGGAGACCCAGAAGAAGCTCCTGGCTCTTGGCTTCGGATCAGCACAGCTCAAGCTGTTGAGGCCACCTGGCAAGTGAACCAGTGGATGGAAGACCTCTCTCTCTGTCTCTCTGTAACTCCATCTTTCAAATGAATAAAATAAATCTTAAATATATATATATTTTAAAAATTAATTATTAAGCACAATTATCATACAGCAATTTCAATTTTAGGTATAAATTCAAGAGCAGGGGCCACCATTGTGGTGTAGCAAGTAAAGCCACCACCTGCAACATAGGCATCTCATATGGGCGCAGATTTGAGTCCGGCTGCTCCATTTCCCATCTGGCTCCCTGCTAGTAAGCCTGGGAGGGCAGTGGAAGATGGCCTAAGTATTTGGGCCCCTGTGCCCATGTGGGAGACCCAGAGGAAGCTCCTGGCTCCTGGCTTCAGTCTGGCCCAGGCCTGGCTGTTGAAACCATTTGGAGAGTGAACAGCAGATGGAGGATTTCTCTCTGTCCTCTCTTTCTCTTTGTGACTCTACCTTTCAAATAAATAAATATTTTAAAAAAGCAAACCTAAAAACAATGTAAACATATATTCACACAAAATTTTATACAGAAATGTTCAGCAGTATAGTTCATAAGAGCCCAAAATGGAAACACAACACAAATGTCCATCAAGTGATGAAAGGATAAATAAAATGTGGTATATATATCTATACAACAAAATATTACTTGTCCATGAAAAAGAATGAAGTACATGCCACAACATGGGTGAATCTTGAAAACATTAAATGAAAGAAGTCAATCACAGAAGACCAGATATTTCGATTCTATGCTTATAAAATATATAGAATACACAAATCTGTAGACTCAGAAAGTAGATTAGTAGCTGCCTAAGGCTAGGAAGTTGGGGAGAAATGAAGAATGACTTCCAAAGGATACAGAAGCCGGCGCCGTGGCTCACTAGGCTAATCCTCCGCCTTGCGGCGCCAGCACACCGGGTTCTAGTCCCGGTTGGGGCGCCGGATTCTGTCCCGGTTGCCCCTCTTCCAGGCCAGCTCTCTGCTGTGGCCCGGGAGTGCAGTGGAGGATGGCCCAAGTCCTTGGGCCCTGCACCTGCATGGGAGGCCAGGATAAGCACCTGGCTCCTGCCTTCGGATCAGCGCGGTGCGCCGGCCGCAGCGCGCCGGTCGTGGCGGCCATTGGAGGGTG